TGTACATCTGATATTCATTTTTACTAGACATCTAGTTGATTGGCAAAATAGATACCTAAAAATTAAGAAAAAAAAACCCAGCAAATCCCGAATGACAGTTTATCTCCCATATCGTCAAGGTTTTTGAAAATCAAAGAAACGTTTGCCAGTCACGTTGCTTTCGCCGAAATTGATTTTGTTTTACCTGAATGAAATGATTAATGAGTGATTGTAAAACCTATGCATGCTTCTGTTAGAAGAATCATTTAGGAAGGAATAGCTAGTCTTTGTAAGGTTTTATATATGGTCACATAGAAATATTTTTTATAATCTTTTATTGAAAGGAGTGTTTGAAATTCAAAATGGTGACTTAAAACCTTTTAGGATTTTTTAGTATACGGATACAGATAGTTAACAGCACATTGCAAGTAAACATAGAAATCTTGGTGTCAACGTTAATAAGCTAATACAAATAGAAGGAACTACGAAAAACAAAGTAAACTAACAATAATCAAAACATGTATTTATCCGTAAACCGAGTCATAGTGGAGATAAATCATATACGTGCTTCAAAAGGTCAAATGCACCGACATGTAATAAAACTAAATAACTTTTTTCGGACAATACAATCATTGTAATATTAATGACGTAGTAAATGATTTAATGCGTTTATAAAGAATATTTTTTTTATGATATTGATCAATCAAGTAGTATGATGAGTCAGTGTATCCAGGATACCTACTAATATAGTTTTATTTTTGCAGTTTGTCGTGGTATCCTTGATGCATTGACTCATCGTACCACATGATTGATCAATATTATTTTTGTAAATGTTCAAAGTCCAAGAGACGTTATTCGTCCAAATGTAGGTTAACCGGAACGAAATGCCAACTCAATCCTTCACTTGAAGGATTAAATGTGAATTTTCGCACTTATCTTAATTCAGGACAAGTAATAGCTTGATATTTGAAGCTTCTTCTGGGCTTATTTGTAAACCTTTTAGATTTTCAAAATAGCAGCATACATAATTGACATAAAATTGCAACCTTTAAATATAAATAAGAAAATGTGGTATGAGTGCCAATGAGACAAGACAACTTATCATCCAAGTCACAATGTATAAAAAGTTAACAATTATAGGTCAAAGTACGGCTTTCAACACGGAGCATTGACTCACACCGAACAGCAAGCTATAAAGGGCCCCAAAATGACTATTGTAAAACAATTCAAACAGGAAAACCAACGGTCTAATCTATATACTAGTAAAAACGTAAAACGATAAACATCTATGAACCACATCAACAAACGACAACCACTGAACAACAGGCTCCTGACTTAGGACAGGTGCATAAAAATGCAGCTGGTTTAAACGTTTTAACAGGCGCCAACCTTCACCCTAACCTGAGACAGTAGTGTAACATTACAATATAAAACGACGCACTATAAAATATCAATTGAAATGGCTTTACTCGATCAAGACCGTAAACAAATTTTATAAAACAAGCTTTTGGAAAATAGAAGACTGAGCCCAACAATTTCTAAAGTACCACCGCCTTCCGATTTTACACTCATTCTTAATGAAAAACTCATAATGACCGGTAAAAGATGACTGACAACGGTAGTGTAGGGCTTGCGTTTGATCCAATAAAACTGTATAGGTAAAAGTTTATTTAATTTGATCCGGAGTTAAATATAACAATAGCACACTTAGACGTAAATACATGTAAAATACCATGAATGAAAGCTAAATTAAGTGTATTCTTAAAACATCATTTGTATTTTTAAGTATTTGCCATGGTATACAGACATGATAAAAGATGGTTCATTTGCCTGTTTTTTTGTTTTGTTTATTAAGAAACAGTAGTATGTCCACAGCCATTTAAGGAAGATTACAAGCTTTACTATATGGTATTCAGAATAAAGAGAATGACTAGCCCTAATTGGTCGTTGTGTACATCTGATATTCATTTTTACTAGACATCTAGTTGATTGGCAAAATAGATACCTAAAAATTAAGAAAAAAAACCCAGCAAAACCCGAATGACAGTTTATCTCCCATATCGTCTAGGTTTTTGAAAATCAAAGAAACGTTTGCCAGTCACGTTGCTTTCGCCGAAATTGATTTTGTTTTACCTGCATGAAATGATTAATGAGTGATTGTAAAACCTATGCTTGCTTCTGTTAGAAGAATCATTTAGGAAGGAATAGCTAGTCTTTGTAAGGTTTTATATATGGTCACATAGAAATATTTTTTATAATCTTTTATTGAAAGGAGTGTTTGAAATTCAAAATGGTGACTTAAAACCTTTTAGGATTTTTTAGTATACGGATACGGATAGTTAACAGCACATTGCAAGTAAACATAGAAATCTTGGTGTCAACGTTAATAAGCTAATACAAATAGAAGGAACTACGAAAAACAAAGTAAACTAACAATAATCAAAACATGTATTTATCCGTAAACCGAGTCATAGTGGAGATAAATCATATACGTGCTTCAAAAGGTCAAATGCACCGACATGTAATAAAACTAAATAACATTTTTCGGACAATACAATCATTGTAATATTAATGACGTAGTAAATGATTTAATGCGTTTATAAAGAATATTTTTTTTATGATATTGATCAATCAAGTAGTATGATGAGTCAGTGTATCCAGGATACCTACTAATATAGTTTTATTTTTGCAGTTTGTCGTGGTATCCTTGATGCATTGACTCATCGTACCACATGATTGATCAATATTATTTTTGTAAATGTTCAAAGTCCAAGAGACGTTATTCGTCCAAATGTAGGTTAACCGGAACGAAATGCCAACTCAATCCTTCACTTGAAGGATTAAATGTGAATTTTCGCACTTATCTTAATTCAGGACAAGTAATAGCTTGATATTTGAAGCTTCTTCTGGGCTTATTTGTAAACCTTTTAGATTTTCAAAATAGCAGCATACATAATTGACATAAAATTGCAACCTTTAAATATAAATAAGAAAATGTGGTATGAGTGCCAATGAGACAAGACAACTTATCATCCAAGTCACAATGTATAAAAAGTTAACAATTATAGGTCAAAGTACGGCTTTCAACACGGAGCATTGACTCACACCGAACAGCAAGCTATAAAGGGCCCCAAAATGACTATTGTAAAACAATTCAAACAGGAAAACCAACGGTCTAATCTATATACTAGTAAAAACGTAAAACGATAAACATCTATGAACCACATCAACAAACGACAACCACTGAACAACAGGCTCCTGACTTAGGACAGGTGCATAAAAATGCAGCTGGTTTAAACGTTTTAACAGGCGCCAACCTTCACCCTAACCTGAGACAGTAGTGTAACATTACAATATAAAACGACGCACTATAAAATATCAATTGAAATGGCTTTACTCGATCAAGACCGTAAACAAATTTTATAAAACAAGCTTTTGGAAAATAGAAGACTGAGCCCAACAATTTCTAAAGTACCACCGCCTTCCGATTTTACACTCATTCTTAATGAAAAACTCATAATGACCGGTAAAAGATGACTGACAACGGTAGTGTAGGGCTTGCGTTTGATCCAATAAAACTGTATAGGTAAAAGTTTATTTAATTTGATCCGATCAAGCTGAAAATGTTAAAATGTTTTAAATCACTTTATTTCAAACGGGAAAAGTGTAAAACAGGCCGTTGTAATAGAAGTTGTGAATGAAGAAAACTGAAGACATCAAAGTTTACCTTTAATTGTAATTGAGAGAAAAATCATCTCTCATATGATAGTGCCAATATATTCGTATCATCACATGATGAAAAGGAATTATCAATAGTAAGCATTTAAAATTAACAACTTTATTTTCTAAAAAAAAGTCATAAAACAACATAAAATCGTATTTACAAAAAATACCGAACAACAAGGTTAATTCTACAAAAGGAAGAGGTCCATTAAACCTGACAAAATCAAACGCTCGACTATATCAGCCAATGGAACGAATGGAAAACAACTGCCATATTCCTGACTTGGAACTGGCATTTTTAAAAGAAAATGGTGGCTTAATCTGACAAAATTGGGAAAGAATCCCATAAAGGGATAATTGGTAAACTTGACAATCATTGGGATCTAGCAGCACAAAAAAACAAAAACAAACATGCAAATAAATCTGCAAAGACGCCAACACTTTCCCGATAAAGAACAAATTAAGTAAAATATAAATACAATGGTAAAGAAAAAAATACAACACGATTAAAACCTCATGCGTCCTAATCATACCTCTAGACCTACCCGCACCAGGAAGGCCCAAAGCCAAAAACCTGATAGCTGGATGAACAAACACCGAGTCTGATTCATAAGACCAAAAAGGAACATAATAGTACAAAGACAAATATAAGGAAAACTCTAAAATAAGTAAAATGATACATAACGTCAGCACCTTGAATCTTATTCCCAAGACAATCTTGTATTATTTGTGAAGTAGACCCTGATTATATATCTAATAATTCTTGGTATTTGCCGATGAAATGTTTGAGAAAAAGGACGAGACGTTCTTTGACAAAACCCTGGCTAATTAATTTTTTGCCCAGACACCGATGACGTGTTACACAGTCTGAGTGGCAGTTGCAAACTTTATAATATTGTATGACTTGAGAAATGTGTACTCCATACGCGGAAAAAGTTGGAATAAAAGACTCAAAGTTGTAAAATATGATAAAGGGGGAACCAGATATGTTTAATCTTTAGCCAGCTGGCAATTCCAAAAAAGTGTCGATGCAATCTAACAGTATACTGTGGTGATATAAATGTGTACGAAAAATAAAATCGGAAGTTTATGCAACACGTACATGTATAGACGTTATAATATAGTCCTGTCTACTTGTTTGTATGGCTGACAACGGTAGTGTAGGGCTAGTTTAATTTGATCCGATCAAACTGTAAATGTTAAAACATTTTAATACACAATATTTCTAACAGGAAAAGTGTGTTACGGGTCGATATAACAGAATTTGAGAATGAAAAATAGAATAAGATAGGAAGACATCAAATATCAACTTTTATTGTATATGAGAGAAGAACAATATAATGCAACGTATTATTAATAGTCAGAATTCAAAAACAACAATGTTATTTTCTAAAGAAGTCATAAAATGAGATAAAACACTCGAAGTGGTAAAATATAATAAAAGGGAACCAGAAATGTTTAATTTTTAGCCAGCTGGCAATTTCAAAAAAGTGTCTTTGCAATCTGACAGTATACTGTGGTGATATAAAGGTATATGAAAACCAAAAACTGAAGTTTATGCAACACATGAATAAAAATGTATTCTGTACAGACATAATAGTGTTTGTCCTGTCTACTCGTTTGTACTGTTTCATTTGTAAAATAAATGAAGTTTGCATAACAGTGCTTAGCACACGGAAAATGGCATTAAGTATGATTTTTACTTCACCGTAGCGAAGATTCTCTACACATTCTGCTATTATATATCCACAGGTAGCCATTGAACTAACTAAAATAATTACATGTTTCATGTCTGTGACCGTTTGAGCATTTGATTTAGGACGGAGTTGTGCAGAAAATGCGTAAAAACACTTTATTGTAAGTGGTATCCGAATGAAATTTCCACAAACATAAAATACGAAAGCTACGTGCAAGTAATTATTTCTCAGTTGATCAATGTTAAGAAACAATGTCTGAATAACAATAAATACAATCATATACAAGATACCAATAATTAAAACTATAATGGATTTTCTATTCCAAACTGTTCTAGTCGGAACATTGCTATTGCAACGTAATAACCACTGATGTTCTTCTGTGTCTTGCCTCGAAGAGGACTCTTGTAGTTGTCGACTTTGAAGTTCGGGATATTTTGCTCTCGGCCACATCTCGGATAGGAGTATCACACATAACAGACAGTATTCTAAAGACACTGGATCTAAAAATGGTTTAAATTGTTTCATCGGAACAAACGATTTTGTATCATTACATACATTTCCACTTATGTCACTGATGTTTAAAAATGATTTGGCTTCATAATATGTAAATATAGTTCGATGTGTCCACAGTGAAAAGTTTGTGACAACAAGAACAAGAAATCCATAATAAAGACACAATATATTATTAAATATGAATTTGGAAAAGTAATGAAGGAAGAATGTTTGCAAAATTTGAAATATCCAAGTTGAAATGTAATAAAGTAGAACATCTGGAAGTTGGTCACATTTGCTATAAATTGCAAATTTCACTATTTCGAAAGTAATATTTGCTACACAAAATAGCCAAAGGAATTTCAATTTCAAACTGTGACTGCCTTTTGAACTTCTTGGCACTGTCCAGTGTTTATTCCTGCAAGCTGAAAGGCTTAGGGAAATCAAGGTGAAAACTGCAATGATCAACAAAACAGTCATTACTATCCGGGAAGTAGTTTTAGGAAAGAAACACATGAGTTCAAATATCATGATAATAATTGTTGTCAAAATAACTACTCCAGCAATGCTGCCGTCATGAATGGAAAAGTCACCGTTACGATATTCTTTAATCAAACCAGTTGTCCATGGCATAACAAATGCAGCATGCAGGATTTTCTTCAATTTTTGTCTCATTTTAAATCTCGCTGTAAGATGGAAGTTGATCATGTAAAACGGATATTTAGTTATTGAGGTGACCATTAAACGGTGTCAATATTTCAACCATTTTTCCTTTCCTGAAATAGATAGTCACAGTACTTAATTTATAGGACAGCAATACTAAATGTTTTAATGATCTGATATCAATCATCTTGTATTTGTTCATAATACTAAACTGGTCTTAGTAAGCAAAATGTAATAATCATACAAGAAACGCTTCAAATGATATTAGTTATTCTTCTCGTTTCTTTCATTCATAAACATGCATCGAATGCAGAAAAATTATAAAAATATGTGTTTTACGCCTATATTTTTGTATATGGAAGTGACAGGTTGCCGAAATAGTTTGATAGAATTTGAATTTGGAAACAGAAATGTGACAACAGATGTGTTGTCCAAATTCACAATTTCAAAATTTATAGGAGTTTATTCACAGATTACAAAACATTGATCGAAATACTAATACTAAGGATTTTCTACTCCAGGAACAGAGTATGTTTGCAAGTACTAACAGAGCTGTATTTGGTAAAACCTTTCCGAAATTTTGGTTCTGAATGCTCTTCAACTTCGTACTTTATTTTGCTTTCAAGTTTTTTTCATTCGAGCGTCACTGATTAGTCTATTGTCGACGAAACACGCATCAGGCGTACAACATTATAAGCCTGGTATCTTTGGTGAGTTGTTTTGTTTGTATACCAAAAATGCAAATAAAATAACGTGACGCAATTTTAACTTTTTACATTATTTAAGAATGTTGATAACCAACACAATGTTTTGGTGTATGCTTTTAAATATATACCGGAAAGCAATAGATTTTGAAACGGGGAATTGACATAAAGATTTCTGAGAACTAAACATTTTTGAAATTGTTACTTCAGATAAACTCAATTGACAATAAAAGAATTTTTGTGATGAGCAAAACTATGTCATCGTAAAATAACACTGTGGTAACTGTTACTACGTGTTAGTGGATTGAACCCGAAAATTAATCTCCTCTTCCTATTCTAATTATACTTTCCATGTCTAGACTCTTAGACGATATACCATACATTAAACATTTATCATCACAATAAACAGGAAATACAATTCTAATTTATTCCTCGTACTATGTAACTCATCCAGATAATATGATACATTAAGTTCCTACCTTTCGTGTCGATTCAATTCAACCTAGTTCTGTATACTCTTTATTATTAGACCTGTAGAGATATACACTGCGCGATTAGTATTCTTTGCCTGTTTTATTGTGATTCACGGGAATTTTCGTTTTTAGTTTGATCTTCAGTCATCATTATCTGTATTGTTTCCTTGTAAATTAATCGAAACAGGAAGTTTTTAATATTTTAACTCACGACGACTTTTCAAAAAATACGTGCAATGTACAAAACTGTCGTTTATTGAATCATAGATGTATAAACCCATGATTGAATTGAGTAGAATTGTTTATTTTATTTTTACTTTTCCGTGCAAAGACCTGTTGAATTTGTTCTGATTATTATTTTTTTTCTTCCGCAACTTTTGCTTCTAAAATGTTGCTTTTGATTCGCAACATGTCGATTACATATTTGGTGTATGATATTGAACAGTTCATTCGTCTTGACGTTACACCAATAGATTTGGGTCGAAGTGCTCTAGTGACTTTTTATATGATTTTTCTCCCCTTAAATATTCAAATTAAGCTGTTTAGTATAGGATATCTTCTTAATCATACTTATAAGACTTGGAGGCTTTTGATTAGAGTTCCTTAACATTTGTCCTTCACATTGAAGTCAAGATCAAAGGCCATTTGATTTTGATATTTGCTATAACGTCATACTGGTACACTATAAGCCATGAAGTCTTTTGCAATATAGGACGACATAATATAACCGGAAGTGCCCTGGTGTTTCTCAGAAGAATTCAATTTTGTACTAATTTCATATAAAAGAAACCATATAATCTTTAGAATAAGTGTGAAGTTACCTATCAGGTGACACCGGATGTGACATTTTGTAATGACGTCTTTACACTAAATGAATTGGATGTTGGATGTGTGCTGATTGATACTTCAGTCTTAGATACATGATTTTTTTATTAGTTGTTATTGGCTTTGAACTAGCTGTCAGTAGCTGCGAGTTCTCTCAGATCTGTACGTATTGTCTTTCTTGTTGTAGGGATGTATAAACTCCCTGCCACGTCCGGTCTGCGTTTTTGTAACTTGTTTTTTCTGCTTTGTATCGATCTGATAAGTTAAGCCCTTTTCAACTGATTTTATAGTTTCTTCATATATTTTACTGTTACGCCACTGTCCCAGGTTAGGGGGCGCCCGCTCACATGTTCAACCTCGCCACATTCTGTATGTGCCTGTCCCAAGTCAAGAGCCTGTAATTCAATGGTTGTTGTTTTTTGCTGTATATCATATTTGATTTCGTTCATTGTTTTTACATATATCAGGTTATTAGTTTTCTCGTTTGAATTGTTTTACATTTTTTATTTCGGGGCCTTTTATAGCTGACTATGCGGTGTGGGTTTCGGTAATTTTTGAAGGCCGTACGGTGACGTATAGTTGTAGTGAAAAGTAATAATGATAGATTATAAATACACATTCTTTAAATATAATCATAATTTGCTAGAAAATATGTCCGTTTTAAAAATCATTTCATGTAGACATTACAAAACATACTTCCTTTTTGATAAAGAAAACGTCTGCTTTTCTTCACATAATGTGAATTTTTGATACGGACACTATTCTTATCTTATCTTCTTATTTTTTTATAAAACAAAACAAATAGCTTTTCTGTTAGAAAAAGTTTAATACCAGAGAAAAGATCAAATGGTTATTTAATACCTAAATGCAGATTGATTACACGGCATCTCAAATATATCCCCGGTCGCTGACGTGACCTTTGAAATATAAGAGAAGCAATGTAAAACATACATATTGCGAGGAAGTCTCTATCGATTGTAAAGGTAAAGATCAGAGATATTAAAAATAAAACTAAATCAGTTGAGAAAAGGGTTAACGGATGAGACTTAGCTACCTTACTTGGAGTTAGATCCAAACTTGGATATATGATCAAATAAAATGCTAGAAATATCCTTATTGAGTATGTTGTAAATATATTAAAGGTAAAGTTTACAGATACGAAAAGAAGTGCAGAAAGAGGGTTTCCGAAAGATAACTAATGAACCTTACGTTGGATTTGGACCAAAAACAAAATATATGGTCACATGCAATGAGAGGAATAATAAGATCGATTTTAAGGTCAATATATCTTAGATCACAAATACTAAATATAGCACACAAAAAAAACCCAACTTAATGATGGTAGAATAAGAATCTTAACTAAAGACTGGTGTCAAAATTATTAAAATTGTAATTGAAGAAAGAACCATATTGATGTTATTGTTTATAAACAATTCGTTGTTGTTGACGACCTTATGTTGATAATTGCAGATACGAAAAGAAGTGCAGAAAGAGGGTTTCCGAATGATTACTAATGGACCTTACGTTGGATTTGAACCTAAACAAAATAGATGATCACATGCAATGAGAGGAATAATAAGATCGATTTTAAGGTCAATTTATCTTAGATCACAAATACTAAATATAGCACACAAAAAAAAAACCCCAACTTTTTGATGGTAGAATAAGAATCTTTACTAAAGACTGGTGTCAAAATTATTAAAATTGTAATAGAAGAAAGAACCATATTGATGTTGTTGTTTATGTTTTTTCTAGTCTTTTGCTTACTGTCTCATTGACGTATGCACTACGTCAGGCATCTTTTGTTCATTCAAGTTGATTGATATGATATAGCTTTTATTAGAATTTACGAAACGTGCATATTCCTTATGTTTGTTTTAACGAGTTATTTCATATGATATATATATATTTTTTTATATTAGAAATGACATTCAGTTCATTTTCCCCGATGTATGTTCTAACATTTTTTATGATTATGCAGAGTGATATAATGTTAGAAGATGTTAAATATTCTGTAAAGCATTGCAATTTTAGTAGTTTTCCTTGACAACATATATGCATGATTCGGCCTAAAAGTTTACCCACAGGTTGTAGGTATTTCTATGGGCACCCGTTGTGTCCCTGTATTGTTATGGATCGCTGTTTATTGTTTATGGCCAAATTTAGGAAATTTTCGTCTTAATTCCATTTAATCGATAAGTTTAATAATACTGCAACGAAAACCGAGCGGCCGGGCCTTAGTGTAATGCTATAAGAATATGTTTTTGTAATAGCAGTGACTGTCATAAATAGAGAATAAGTGTACATCCAATAACTCTTTCTTTGGTAGCGTGGTACTCTGGTATTCTGTATACACCCTGGTAAGGTTGGATTCTCTGGTAAGGTAATGACTCGGATATAAAGGGGTAGATTGGAGTTTAGGTTTTTGGATTTCCGACCGTGCAAGGGCTGTATAGCCAGTCAAGGTCGTTAAAAACTTCCATTTATTATAGGTTTTTGGTCCGTAAAAGCGTGGTTTTGTATGGTAACTCTCCGTATCGATGTTTGTAAGAATAACAGACTCGTTAAATAAAAACAACTTATATTGTACGACTTTGCCCCCAGCAGAGCTATAGAAAAACAGTACATTAACGGGTGTTACACGGACACTCTATAGATGATACACGGACACTTTTTAGTTGTTACACGGACACTTTTTATGAATTGAATCACTCGTGCATGATCAGTGAGTTCATGGGCACTTTAAATTTCAGTAAGATTTGAAGTTTTTGTTTCACCGACACATTTCCTGTCTTTTTTATTAAAATATTTACGTTGGCATCAAATAACTATATTTTTTTCAAATAATTCCAGTATATTACTATTCATATCAGTACACTACGGAATTGACCATTTAACTTCAAAAAGGGGGGTTATGGTTTTTTCCCCAAAAAAAATATTCTGATCCCCAATTTTATGAGAAAAAATATAGTGTGGTCAAGCAGATGACAAAATAATGTTCTGATTCCTGATTTTCCAAATACAGTATATTATAGTGCTAATTTCGAAAAAATATTTGGTGATAGCGTTGAAAAAGTAAATAAAAACATACCCCCTTTTGAAGATAATGGTCGATATGTAAATGTATTTTTTCAATATATGGACATGAATAGTATTCTGGACAATGCTGAAAGTCAAGAAATGCTGGTACCGACTTTTATATATCAATATAAAAGACAGGAAATATATATAAAAAAAAAAAAAAAATCTAATCAAAAGATAAAATCCCTATCAACTCACCAATGCACGATTGATCCTATAAATAAAAAGTGTCCGTGTAATACATATTCAAATAGGCAGCAAATCTTGAAGAAAATCTTTCAACTTATGTCACCAATTTTGGACGGTAAGCTGCGATTGGATCATATTGTGACACGTGTTTAATCCTGATCAATACTATAAGAGACCTACAAGCATGAAAATTTAAAAAAAAACTAAAATATATGCCTATATATATCTAATAACAAGCCAAAATCTATTTTTTCATAACATTTCATTCACTAATGAAATAAAAAATTCTTTCTTTTTATACATTTATATTGTTATTGAAATCATATATATTGAATTCATATATTTGGGAACAAACGGACGATTTTTATTATTTTTTTAAGGGGGAATGGGGAATGGAATGGCACATCCTGCATTTTTTCAACAATATATGATATGGTTCTTTTTTATAAAATTATTAGATTTTTTAATTTTAGAAAAAAAAACTCTCGGCTGAAGGAAAGTTAAAAAAAGTTTGTTTAAACTGTAACTTACATTAACTTGTATATGGTCATTTCAGTTTCTAATCTGTTTAATTTTGCTACCTCTTCTAAATGCAAAATGTACTACTTCTTTCTTGAAACGTCGTACAAGTCAGATACAATACAAAGGTAACAAAAAACAGGCCGGAAACAAACTGCCGTAAAGTTTTTCTGCACTTGTAGTCAGGTCAAGGTCCTCGGCTATCGCCTCGGACCTTCACCTGACTACTCGTGCAGAAAAACTATCCGGCAACGCTTGTTACCGGCCTGTTTCTTTGTTACCTTTGTATTGTATCTAATACTTAACTTTAATACGCATTAAATATCAACAATACATATATATTTTAAATAACTTAACAGTGTTCAATTCTAATAAACAGACATTTTATCAGCCTTCTTCTGTAAATAAAGTAAATGGATAGCGGAAAAATATACTCAGAAAGTTTACTAATTGTAATTTAGTATTCAGTAAATGGTAAAACTCGATACCAAAAGATTCGTTAAATAGTTTAACTTGCGAAGTTATTTTGTAAGTGTAACTGGAATTGTAAAGGATTTATCAAACCCACTTTATACGGACTTTGTCTCCTCGTACATTGTAATATGTCGTCTCCCTTATCACTACTTGGGTCTGGTAACTGGTATCTATATTTATATTAAAATCGCTTGAAATTAGCGATAGTTACTTGCATAGGGTAAAATCGTGCTGAAGACTTATCTGAATCCTCCGCCGTATTTATACTTAGGTAATCCACTTTACCGATTTGGTTTACCATTTACCATTTAGGAAATACCTAAATTACCTAAACCGGAACTGGTAATTACCAAAATAGGTAAAACGTCATTGTACGTCAATTGAAATAAACAATTCAGAGGTGTCCCGAGTGTAATAACAGAGACAAGGATAATAAAAGTTTTAGAATTAACAATGTTTAAACATACTTATACAATAAATATATAATAACAAAAGTCATTTATCGGTACGATTAAAACAATGTCAACACACAATTTTTGGGGAAACAAGTTCCAGTGCAGGGAACTAACAATTCGTCACAATACTTACCTTTACCTTGATGATTTACTTACTTTTGATAATATTTTACCTGTCATAGAGTCGTGTTATTCAACTGATTTTAACAGTTCGTTCTTATTTTGTGCTGTTTCTCCATTACCTCAAGCTATGATGACTACTCACAAACATGCTTAATGCCGCCACATATTTTATGTACCTGTCCAAGGAATCTCTTATCTGGTGAATGTCATTTGTTGCGCTCTTTATCGTTTATATTTTATAGTTTAAGTTTAAATCTGGCAGTTCGTTTTCTATCTAATTTGTCACTTTGTCATCCCGGGACCTTTCATAGATTAGTTTATGGTAAGAGTTAACTCATTGTTGAAGGTCGAACGGTAGCATGTACTAGTAGTTGTTCCAAATTTTTGGCCTATCGACTTAGGTGGATAGTTGTCTTATTGGAAATCTAAACAAATCTCCTTATATTAATGATATTTTCAAATGTCGAATTGAAATTAAATATTACATCTTATTTAATCACTAGTATACCTCTTGCAGCCTCTAATGTTTTTTTCAGTTCAGTTACTGAATAGATTTCGTTACTTCAGTGTCACCAAGCAAGGTAAAACAACCTTTCTCTACTTTTATCTTGCAATCAGACCCTTTAAAAATGACGTAGTAACTAAGCATTCAAATGTGAAAAAAAATCAGGTTTTGGCAACTAAACCAGAATAGGATAAGACAGTACATGGATTCATATTGTCAAATAAAAACAGTGATAAGGTATCAATTTGATGACAGAAATAGACGCAATACATATTTCATTCCAAATCCATAACTATGAAACACCGTCTGAAAGTGTTACTGCATCTGGAAAATTTGAAATGAATGACACTATTCATAATTTCTCCGTGTTTCTCGATTACCTCAAGCCATGATGACTACTCACAAACATGCTTAATGCCGCCACATATTTTATGTACCTGTCCAAGGAATCTCTTATCTGGTGAATGTCATTTGTTGCGCTCTTTATCATTTATATTTTATAGTTTAAGTTTAAATCTGGCAGTTCGTTTTCTTTTTAATTTGTCACTTTGTCATCCCGGGGCCTTTCACAGATTAGTTTATGGTAAGAGTTAACTCATTGTTGAAGGTCGAACGGTAGCATGTAGTTGTTCCAAATTTTTTGCCTTTCGACTTGGGTGAATAGTTGTCTTATTGGAAATCTTAACAATTCTCCTTCTTTTAATGATATTTTCAAATGTCGAATTGAAAGTAAATATTACATCTAATTTAATCACTAGTATACCTCTTGCAGCATTTAATGTTTTTTCAGTTCAGTTACTGAAAAGATTTCGTTACTTCAGTATCACCAAGCAAGGTAAAACAACCTTTCTCTACTTTTATCTTGCAATCAGACCCTTTAAAAAATGACGAAGTAACTAAGCATTCAAATGTGAAAAAAAAATCAGGTTTTTGCAACCAAACCAGAAAAGGATAAGACAGTACATGGATTCATATTGTCAAAAAAAACCAGTGATAAGGTATCAATTTGATGACAAAAATAGACGCAATACATATTTCATTCAAAATCCATAACTATGAAACACCGTCTGAAAGTGTTACTGCATCTGGAAAATTTGAAACGAATGACACTATTCCTGTTTTATCAAATTAATAGGTTTTTTTTAAAGAACAAGAGAAAAGATTAAATAATTATTTATAACTTCTATGTAAATCAAATGTAGTCGTCTCATAGACTACATTTTATACAAAGAATAAAGGGATGAAATATAGTTACACTACTTAAAGGGATAATAAACAACAACAATAAAATAATATAACTATGATAAAACTATAATTATGTATGATGAGAACTGGTTTGTGTAACGTACAAATGTGTTTACAATTTATGACAAAAATTGAAAAATTCTAAAAGCCTTAAACATAACTGATATTTGGGATAGCAAAGTAAACTGTATCAAGTCAGAAAAATTAAGACAAGCAATTAAACAAACAAACAAAAACAACAAGAACGAAAACGAAAAAAGGAGAAAAAAAAGGTATTTACCCAGAGATAAAAGTATATACACGAAATTGAAGAAAATATAAGGAGTTTTAAGTTTTAAAAAAAATCATAAAGAGGTGATTTTTCAGAGATTCCTATTTGAGCCAAAATTCTATAAAAATGCAAAAAAATTAATGACCGATATGTGCAAAATTAAAAATGTAATTTCAATTAAACTGCTTCAATAATTTTCGAATTTTAAGGTCGAAAGACGGTAAAAATTGGGACATGCGTTTTCGAGTGGAAATATAGACATGCACCAATGAAACTAAGTAAATATGTTGCTATAGAAAATATAAATACAAAATGCCAGGAAGTATCTGTTCTATGACGTCATAATTACATTTGGTATGATGTCTTTACTAATTGTACTGAACTTTGTTTTATATTAAGGATGTATTCTTCTGACGTTTCAGTCTCGTTGAAATCTCGTTCTGGAATTATTTCCAAAACATGTGATACAAGTGGAAAATATCAATGAATTTAGAAAATGTTATAATCAAACTTAACTCTGTGAAAGAATTGTGTATTTACAATAAGTAGTTTTTGAGTACTAATAAATTTTTCAAATTTTATTACCAATCAAGTCAGTCTTTTTAGCCAATATTTTGAGAAAATGAGTGAGGGGTACAAGAAAGGATTTTATCAGAAACATGTACATGCCATATCCCTTTTTCTTTTCAAATTTCTTAGATATGTATTTTTCAATCATTTATAACAAAGAAGTTGAAATAATATGCATTTTGTTCTTAAAACAGAGAAAAATCACAAATTTACAAAATTGACAGCATGGTAAATTTGACACGAAAAAGCATCAAAATATGATAAAACTTTCTTATATTAACACTACCTATAGTTTTTTTAAGTAAAATTTATTCAGATTGGTCCACTTCATCTTTATTGAAAGTATGAACAAATGTCTAATTGTGGAACTGTGATTTTTTTCACGATAATAGCCCCAAAATGGGTAAAAATTGATGAAAAAATGGGAAAATCATCAAAATTTGGTACTTTCAACGGGCCGTAGCAAAAATAGAAGTGCACCACCATATGATTTATTCTTCACCAATTATTTTTTTACAGTCATTTAAACCCAAAAATCAGGTTAAGAAAAAAAGTTTAATTCTAGAAATTTTTGGCTCCTCAGAGGTGTACATCCTTAATATATACTGTAATGTCTCAGTGAAAAATTACGACTAACAAACGTCCATAATCGCACTTTGTCCTTTTAACTTATTAAAAACAAACTACAAAATTAATGCATACAATTAACATAGAATTCGGTAATTTTATAACGATAACAAAACGGTCAATGCAAGTACGTGTGTTGTCATTACAAGTTCATACGAAGTTTATTTTCATTATGCTCGAAAGAACTTGTAAAATGCGACAAAACATTCGAAATGATAGAATATTACAAATGGAAACCAAAAACTTTCCAATAAAAAATTAGATTGTCTCACACGATATCTGGGATTAACAAAAGTGTAAGACATCCATATTCCAAGATTTACCAAGGATACAAACAAAAAAGTATTTTGTACTGAACAAAAAGGCTTTTGGTCTCCTATCTTTTTGTAGTGTTTCATTTGCAAAATAAATAATGTTTGAAAAAGTGTAGCAAAAACACGGAGGACAGCATTAATTCGAAACAGAACTTCTAATGGTTTTGAATTTGGATATGCATCACCGAAACAATCTAAAATATAATATCCACAAGTTGCGAAAGAACTTGTTATAATAACAAACTGATCTAAGCTCATCCCACTATTAGTTTCCTGTTTTGGTCTTAGTTGTCCGTTCAATGCATAGAAACACTTGATTATTAGCGGCGTTCGTACTAAATTAGCACAAAAGAAGACAATGTTGGAAAATGATCTGTAATCTGTCATTTTTTCCCTCGGTCCATATATGTAAATACACTGAATTAGCATAAATGAGAAATTGTATAGTAAACCAATTACTAGGACACGTACTGAATTTTTATGCCAGACACTACAGCGCGGCAGTAGTGGGTGTTGTTCACTATCCAGGTCATCATTTTGTACCAGTAATGTTTGATTTTCATCGTCTATGTCTGTTGAAAGGGAAATGTTGAGTGTCTCAAATTCAACCTTCTTTTTTGGCCACATTTCGGAAAGAAATATCAAACTTAGAAGAGAGTATTCTAGTAATACCGGTTGCAGATACGGATTTAAAAATCCTACTGCCTTAGAGAGTCCATCAACGTATAAACAGTTTGAGACTGTGCTATTAATGAGATAGCTGATATTTATATCATGATTAATTCTGTATGTATAGAAAGTTTGCTGTGACCACATTGAAATATTTGTCACAAATAAAACCAATAAACCGTAATACAAACACAAAACATTTGCAAATTCAAATCTAGAAAAATAGTGAATGAAAACAGTTTGACATATCTGAAATGTCCAGGTGAACGCCCAAAATAGTGTGACTTGGAAGTTGTAAACCTTGCAGACGAGGTGCATCGCTAGTTGCAATGCTTGATATATAATATTCCCGATACAAAACAACCACAGAAATTTTAGTTTCAATTGATCGCTAGGTTTTACAATTTTTATTTCTACCCAGTTAGAACGGCATCGAGCTGCAACACTGCACATCACTAGACCGATTAACGCCAGACCTGCAAGTCCTATCATCAGCAATCGAGACTGATTCACTGGTAGTACAACTATTGTTTCAAATATGATGATCATGGCTGTGGTCAATAGAACTACTCCAGCAATACTGCCGTCATGTACTGAAAATCCTACATTTCGTCGCTCCTTTATCAGACCAGCAGAAAACGGAACGATGAATGTAGCACGCAAAATTTTGCACAGTTGATTCATTATATTTGCTGTAAAATAAAATATGTGGCTTAAAGTACAACTACCTATTGAATCAATTGTAATTTGTTTTTTTTTTTTCTCTTTCAAAATATGGATGAAATATCTGACATAGGAAATTAGTTAAACAACCAAGAATCAACCGTTATATGTGTATGCAGCCCAATCATTGTTGTAACGTGTAAGCCGGGGACAACAGAGAAGTAATTCTTTTTGCGATTAAATACAATTAGAAAATAGATAATTTAAGGATTTTTGATATACAAAGATAGATCTTCAGATTCGATATGCTATTTATTTTAGGTTATTTAAACAATATGCAGCAAACTTTAATATGTTTAAAGGACATTTTTAAAAAGTCTTTCAACCCTTTACTTAATTTGAAAGATTCGCAGCTGTTTGCTCTTTGAGGCTCTAACAACAGGTAACGAAATTATAGGCGTCTGCAGATTAGCCGAAAGTCACATTTTTTTAACAGTTTTTGATTATTTATCCAAACTTTGTATAAGTATATTTTTAATCAAAACCAAAATATGTTAGACTTATGCTATATATGGTTTTCTGGATACAAATTAAAATAATTTTGGTTAGCGACGTCATTCGATGCAAAATATTTAAAAAAAACACATGTTAAATTTGGAAAAAAATGTATCAAAATGGCAACAACAGATACATCGATCACCGCAAAACATTTTGTCTTACTAGATGAAATAAATAAAAGTCGTTGCCAAATGTTTTAAGTATATTATATATACCCTTTGATATTCGACTGCCAGTAATACAAATGTATTTGACATCTTTTTTTAATTTGACACTGCGAGGAGAGCAATAAATGCAGAAGAGTTTTGCCCTGCCTCTTTGATAATACGTAATTGCTGTCATTGCTGCTATTGCAAGTAAAAACTCATGAAAAATACTAACCTTATAATTCAGTACGCTAGACGAGCATGCGACTAATTGAGAATCAGCATTTGCGCTCGAATAAAACAGTTGGAGGGACAAATCAATAATAACGTTGATGAGCATTGAAAACCAAAAACCTCTCGCTGGAGGAAGAAAATCCTAAGTGTTTCAATTAATTTTAACATTGTATAGATAGTAAATTTCAGAAAATGACCTATCAATTATGTTTCATGCACGCAAATAAGCGCTGATCTGGGCTGGTGGTAGCCTCCGAAACGAAACGCCCTCCCAGCAGTACTGACAGTATTATTCACCGGGTGGGCAAAACCTCGGTATTTAGATGAGTAAATAATATTGACTTAAAATAGATTACAATTGAAAAGTAGATACTTAGCTTTGTGTTAAATTTGCGTATATAAAGGAGTTAACTATATAGCTTAATGAGAATTACTTCCTCGTATTTGTAATTGATTTATTTTTAATTTGATCATGACATTTTGTCCACGAGTATTAAACACCAATGTATATTTAAAAAGTTCTCAAAATTTTCATTACTACATATTCTTTATAAACTTAGTTTGCTTACAATTTAATGCTTTAATGTCCTATTAATTTATTTACTAGGTTTACTTACTGTTGGTAGTGTTGAAAATTATTTCGACGTATTCAGAACGATACGACACATCGTAATAATGATAGTTGACCTTTGTATAGATAAGTTCTATGGATATATATTTATAGATATATTCCTTATATTAATAGATTGTGGTGACATCACTTAAAGCTCGGAGAAAACTAGTTTTATCTATGACTCATCATAGTGGTTATCAGTTTCCTTTATCGAACTTGTCTACTGTAGTATATATTTTTTTCAAATTTCAAATTGCTGCAAAGTTAAAGTGTCATTATAACAACTAACTTCGGTTGTTTAATTAACACTGGTTGTTTATCGACCTTGGAGACAATTCAAAGTAGAACATCCAAAGGAAGATGATGCCACTTTATTGGTCCATCGAAAATTAAAAGGTATAATTAAAAATCTACCAAATAACATCCTTTTATTTTTTTAAAAGACACAAGTCTGCTGGACATCAGTATTTATATTTTTGAATTTTGTCTTACATATTCGCACTAGAGTTTCAAACTTCTTATATTTTCTGCAAAACAGCAAAAACTGACAAAATATCCTCATTTTTGTAGACGAAACGCGCGTCTATCGTACAAAATTTTAATCCTGGTATCTATGATGGGTTTATTTTTTTTTCTGCATCGTGTCCTTAACCTCTGATTTGTATGACAGTTGTATAAATCTCCGTAATAGTGTGAGTGAAAATTGTGTGAGCAATCCTAGCAGACATAATTTCAAATGTGGCAATAATAGGGATCCAGGAACTAAAATTGTATAAACAAACATCCTAGATATACATCATAACAAATTGAATTATTCAAACAAACATACAATTAAATCGAAACAAGGCGTCAACAAAACAGTTTCTGTAGGTGATAATAAATATGATCTAGTACAGTATAGTAAAACATAAGAACATATGTATACACACTTTCCCAATAAAGTACAAATTTAGGAAAATACAAATACGAGGGAAAACAAAATGAAAAAAAAACACTATGAAATCGTATGTGTCCGAAGCGCCCCCCTGGACCCAACCGCATCAGGAACGCCCCAAAACCGAATACCGAATGACGAATCGAGTCATACGACCAAAAGGAACATTCTCAAATCGTACTTTCTTTTTAATTTGACCTGTTGATACTATTTGTAACGCTTTTTTGTTATTTAATGTTAACATGGATCTTGTCTATATACCAGCTTTGATTATTTGGTATTTAATTACTACAAATTTTCACTTCTTCGTACTATGAACATCAAAATCATTTCATTTTTCCTTAGATGCTGTTCTTGGACCTGTACAGGAAGTTTTATCTAGCACTAATTGTATATTTTTATTGTTGATATTCACCCCATATGTACCAAGTGTTAGATCAGTTTTATTGATATTAAAGAAATTTCTTGGTATTCCTAAACGGAAGATTTTATACACACAGAAGAAGAAGTATACTTAACAACAAAATTATTTTCATTTACCTGTGTATAATATGACGCAGGTTTTTTCAAAAGTGATGATTTTCTATAAATTGGTTGAAATTTCACAGTGATATCATACTTTAACTTTGTTTAAACCTGTTTATTTACTTTTGACTTTAATTATTTATCCCTTGTAATTTTTTATTAACTGTGTATTTGCATTCAGGTGTCACAGGTCAAATTTATTCGTTCATTGTGTGTTAATTTACGTTTTTTGATTGAGTTAAGTCTTCCAATTGATATTTTATAGTGTGTTTTTCTATGTTGTGATGTTATACTATTGTTTCAGAAAAGGGAGAAGGTTTGGTACCATTAAAACGTTTAATCCCGCTGCAAACGTTTGCACCTGTCCTAAGTCAGGAATCTGATTACAGTAGTTGTCGTCTGTTTATGTAGTTCATACGTGTTTCTCGTTTATCGTTTTTATATAGATTAGACCGTTGGTTTTTCCGTTTGAATGGTTTTACACTAGTAATTTTTTGTGGCCCTTTATAGCTTGCTGTTCGGTTTGAGCCAATGCTCCGTGTTGAAGGCCGTACCTTGACCTATAATGGTTTACTTTATTAATTGTAACTTGGATAGAGAGTTGTCTCATTGGCACTCATACCACATCTTCCTATATCTATTATAATACAAAAAAAATAAAGGGAAAATTGGAAAAGAAATAAAATGATACACAACGTCAGCAAGCAGAATATAAATATTACTCAAGATCATTCTGTATTTTTTGTGAAGTTGATCTTGAATATTTTTCTATTAGGTCTTGGTACCATCCGGTGAACTTTTTGAGAAAGGACGAGACGTTCTTTGACAAGACCCTGGCTCATTATTATTTTTTGCTCAGACATCAATGACAATAAGTAAGAATATCAATGCAAATTTACTAAAAAAAATTAAACACCAAAACAATATATATGCAGAAAAGGGGGATCAATTCCACAAGCGCATGTGCATTTGATGTCAAATACTTAAATTGGACATGACGTCAAAGGGACCTTTCTGCAATAAAGTGTTAAGATTATATTATTAAGCCTGGTCATTTACAGGGCCAAATGCCTTCAACCGAATACGTCCCGACAGCGTCCCGATTCTGCCGAATGCGATCCGACAGAGATCAGACAATGAACAGACAGTAAACCGACGCTAACGGAAGATATCCGTTAGAAAACCGTTTCATGTGATAGTCTCGTCCTATAAAAAGAAATCGCCATATCCGGGATGATCAGGTACTACCGGAATGCAATCCTAGCACAGTCTGATGTACCGCATTGCAAACGGCTTCGTCGGGACTCCGTCGTATCGTGTTCTGTAATTGTCGGGACTCCGAGTATTAATGCCGAATTTCGTATTAATAACGGGACTGTTCCGGAACAAAGACGGTTCGTATTCGGCAAGATCTGGATGCAATCTGGACTCAATCGGCAAAAAAACAGCAGTGACAAATTTCTCCAGATCATGCCCGTTCCACAGGACACCGTCCAGAAAACACAGAACATTGTTACGATTTTGATCCGATACAGAATCTTTCACGACATAGTCACGATTGTAAAACGACTAGACAAAATCGGCTGAGTTTCCCCGAATGTTACGGGATGCACCTAACTGTCGGGGGTGCTTGGCCGACCTCTCCGGACCATTTCCGATCCGTAGGAATCTGTTATGAACGTATACGACTGCGTTCAGATAATGATAGGACATTCCAGATCATTGAGGATAGTAATCCGACTTTTTCACTTTTCGTGTCTTAGCGCTGTCTGATCTCAAACGGGAGCCATAATCGGCAATGTGTGAACGCCGCATTAACTGAAGTCCTAAACCTATACCAGAACTTGCACTATAGTCTAGGAACACACTTCTGTTTACATTTAATAGATACTAAAATCAAACAAGCTTTTTCGCAAACCAGTGCTTGTCCAAATAAGAATTTACGATACATGTTATAATCCCCTTTTCAATGACGAAAAAGTGTTTGTTTGTCTTTTCTCATCAAAACAGATGGCTTTTCTGTTTTAAATATTTCGATACATGTACTGGAGACAAAATGTAATGCTTATTTAACACTTTTATTAATTTATTGTTTCCACGGCTTCCCATTTTAACATATTATCAGTCACTAACGTGAATCTTGATGGAAAAGAGAAGCAATGTAATATATAAATATAATGAGGATGACATTTCTTAGTGTAAGGTCAACGCATCCAAGTTAAAGGTCACAGAAGCTAAAATAAATAAAACCAAATCAGTGTAGAAAAGGATTAATGGGTGATACTCGGGGAATTTACTTTGGATTAGAAACAAACTAGGATATATAGTCACATGTAACACGAGAGAGATCTTAATAAGATTTTTTTTGGGGGGTAAACATGATTCCAAGTTTAAGTTCACGGATACCAAAATAAATGCAGAAAGGGGTTCTCCGAATGATAATTCATAACTAAAAGATTGTGAAAATTAGATAATCGGATTCCGTATTTTGCAAAACAAAACCATTTATACATGAACTTTAAAAGTTTTATTCCATAAAAAGGAGGTGTACCATTAGTCTTTGTGCTAAAAGTTGCAGAAAATAATTGCGAGGTATGTGCTAATTTTAAAATGCATTGTCTATAAGATATTAACAGTATTTATAGAAGTTTAAAGGTCGACATATAGCATGAATTCAGTTGTATCTTTACAAAATGACTAACAGTTTGATATACGTGTGCTATTGGACCAATCAAACCTAGTTGATATGTTGTTCAAAGACAGACAGTGCCTTTTAAATGTGACGTCATAACTACGAAAAATTTAAAGTAATTTATTCTTTACAAATTGAGTTTAATTTTACATCATAGCAACTTCTAAATGGATATAAATTGAAAGTCTTAAGTAACTGTAATATATTACGATTTACAATCAAAAACCTCACATGTGTCCTTTTAATATAATGGAAAATAAATAACAAAAGAATGCAAATATAATCTACATAAAATTCGATAACAAAATGACGCTAACGAAATTATCCATACAGGTATTTTTAGAATATATATGTAGGGTTCAAATCTTTGGTGGGTTCTATATCTATGGCAAATTCCTAATTTATGGTAAATATGACGTTATGCCATCCCAATCTATGGCAGATTATTTAGAATCCTAATCTATGGCAATTTTTTAGTTTCCTAATCTATGGCAATTTTTTAGTTTCCTAAGCTATCGCGGATTTCTAGTTTTCAAATCAATGACATATTTTCTACAAATGGCGGACCAATGATTTCAAAGTTGCCTTAAACAAGTCGAAATTTTCAAAGGTAGCGAAAAGGCTGCTTTTAAGTTAACGCCAGTATAAGAAAAACGGATAAGAAGTACGACTAAGAAGCATATCCATAACCATTTGTGAAATGGACACAGACTTTAGGGGTGAAATGATGTGTCCGGAATAATAAGCATTTCCTACTCTGTACATGGTACCTGTGTGGCGCTTCATTTAACAAAGTCCCTTAACAACCCAAAACGCATTTCACTTTTTACCTAAAATTTTTTTTGAGCCTTAATAAATCTTTTTAACTGATCATGATTTAAGTCAAAGTCCTGTAACGAACAATGACTTGCCTCAAACACGTGGCTTTCTTATGAAAATGCTTATTTTTCCAACAGTACCGTTATTCGACATAAATATAGTGGAAAATCTCAGGAAAGATTATTTGCTACAATAGTACAGGTAGTCACTGTTATATAGCTGACAAAATGCTATTGGTTATTTTACATGTAAATTTTTTTTAAAGAGACCATTAAAAATAACAATAAAACAGCATATCACGACGAAAAATTATGAAAGAAAGCAAAAAGCAAACCAAAATAAACAGTAAAAACTCATGCAATTAGGGGTGAGGGCAACACCAGAAACACGAGAACAAGAAAACAAGGTGCGGACCCAAACACGAAACATAAACAGCAAAAACACTAAAAACATATTTATTAGTGTGAAATTGCCTGCACCAGCAATTTTGCTGCTACGAATGATTGGGTTTGTTCGCTAGAATTCTTATTTCGTCCGAATCAGATGATTACATCTTCTCATTTACAGGGATTTCTGTTAAAGTAAACTCGAATTCTGAAATATAATTTAATTGATGGATTAGAGTCCTTGAAATGGCCTTTTCTTTTCCTTCTATATAACAAAACCGTCATCGTTAACGGCGGCTTGGACGTTACATGACGTTATTAAATTGTGACGGAACATTACGTTGTTTCAAAATCTTCCATAGATTTGGAGAAAACAAAAAACTGCCATAGATTTATGATTTGTTTGGCGTTTGTGACGTCATATTTGCCATAGATTAGGAGTTTGCCATAGATCTGGAATCCACCATAGATTTGAGTCCTACAAATAATCATTCCTGGGACTCTCAAACGTGTCCATTCCCTTAAACGCGTCCGATTCCGCCAAACGTGTCTATTTCGACCAAACGTGTCCTTAAAATCCCAAATCGCCCAAACGTGTCCGATTTCACATCACCCAAACGTGTCCGATAATTGTTATTCGCCACAACGATTTTTCTTTAAAAACTATATGATGTTAATACATCAATTTCCGTTTATATGATATAAAATATTTGTATGGTCACCGACTTCGTTTTTGGTGTATTAACCAATTTATTAAAGACCAAACAGCCTATTCAGTTCTACCAGTGATTTTTCCTTAAAATTTTGTGTGAAGGTATTTCATGATTTGAGGAACAAAATATGATAAAAAAAATTGGGGGTCACCGACTTAGTTTTGTCACTATAGCAACCTCAGTTTCGTGTTTTCCCGAATATTAACATGATATTTGCTTGTTATTTAAACTCTCAAAAAATCCCATTATATCAAACCTACAAGCATAGTTCTTGTTTCATGTTAAACAGTAGATTTGTGTCTATCAAATACAGGTTCAAGAGTTTAAGACTCTTATTGTTTTGATCTTAAAAAATATGATTTATTTCATTCCCGCCAAAAATAAAACGCAAGAATGAAAAACTTTTACAAGTATTAAAAAATATCTACCAGTGATTTTTTCATAAAAATTTCAAGAAGGAAAGTGCCATGTGTACTCTTCAAAATAAAGCAAAAAAATGTATATGTCACCGACCTTTCAAAAAAGTTATTATTAATTTTCATGTTTTTTTCTCGTTCGTTTTGAAGAAAAGAGTTGTCTTTCTTCAGAACATTGAATCTGACGTCATAGTACAAGTTTTCCTTGCTGGCGTACTGTTTGAAAAAAGTTGCAAATTGGACGTTTGAAACCCACATCTAAATTTTCAAGAATCAAAAATAACAACTATATTCACCTACTTTATTATCCGGTAATACAAGAGATCACATGTATGTATCAGTATCAGATCTCATGATGTTGTTGCCACACAAAGTTAACCTTCAGAATGAAAAATTGTTCGAAATAACCTTTCACGACGCTTTAGAAAGGAAAGTCTGTTTTTGTCCTCTCCCTCTCATTAGCAAAATCATTGAAAATAAAAAGAGAAATGAAAGATGACACTGGTTAACTTACAGACTATTTGACTATATTAAACTAGATGTGTGGGTTTTTTTTTTGTCGCGTCAATTTCAGAACTTCGCCCTAGCGCACTCTTTCGCTACAGTTGACAGACGGAAATCCATTATCACGGACGGACTTCTTTATACCATTATGTGTCCCGACTAAGACGAGCGTATACAAATTATTCCATCTAGTTTGTGGATTCATTATTTCTGAATATTTAGAATATAAGAAAATTAAAATTAAAATTATAGGTGTATTGGTATAATATATGAATTAAAGTTTTTGATTCTAAAACGTTTTACATCCATTTAACCTATCATAAAATACGATCCCCGTTATTACTACCTCACGTGTTTTGAATAAACGAGACAGTAAATATAAAATACAAATAAGTTTTAAATTCAAAAATTGATTTAGAATCTAAGAAATAATTTTCCGTTGAAAACTATAAAGTATTTCTCAGAACAGGATGAAATATTAGGAATCTAAATAGCTCATTTGGAAATTAAAACAAAGACAAGGTTGTATGTATAGATTGCCGGCATTGAAAATCGAAATTTGTTTTCAATCTTTCCGGTCATTGTAGGTTTTTGAAAGTGAGAAATTTTATGTTGGATCTTATTCTTGAAGCAATTCCTGGTACCTTTGATAACTATTGTTTTTGTTATAAGTTAAATTTACAACAAGTTTAGTTTTAAAAACCGTAATTTTTTTATTTTAATTCACATTCACTGAGTATATCAATTTCTTATATTTTTTGCCTTAAGCTTCTGTGAAATCAGGCGAAATCTTTATCATTTCTCCTTGAGACAATTTGAAATGAAACAAACGACAAAAGACAATGAACCTTTATCATTTTTATTTTTACATTAAGATTTTGTCAATTAAACAGTATAGATAAAATTTAACTTCATTGCAAGATCACCATTATTTTACGAGAATCTTAAAGAAATAAGTTAATCTCAACATGCATACGTTGCCAGTATATCGAAACTTCTAGAAAGTATTGTTATCGGCCTAACCTTCTGAAAACTCAGTTTTGAAAAACACATATTAAGTTAAAATTCTAAGCGTAAGTCATATAAATTTACCAGTGTAAAGTTACACGGGCGTACGAGATTTGCGCCGATTTAAAAAAAATTTCGATCTTTAATTTGCGCCGATTTGATTCTTTCATTAGCGCCTATTTTATTTTTTTTATCACTAGCCCCGATACTTTATTTGCTATACGAGTAAATACATGTACATGTAGTAAACCTAGAATGTATATTGCATGGTAATATATGGATATAAATAGTGTTCCCTTATGTTTAAGATAATTTTGGTCATATTGTTCGAGAACTTCGTTTTGACACGAGAAAGAAAAGATGGACTTCGTTATTGGCAAGTACAACAAGTATAGAAAAGATAAAATGACAAGAAAGGAATATATCAGATGTGTGGCATATAAATTCTTGGCAAGATAATAAATCATTGTACTAGTATTACATTTTTATAGATTTAATTGTGGTGCTTTGAAATGCTGTAAATAGAATTTTACTCCGTGATTTTAGTGGATGAAAACAGAGTGCACAAATATCTTTTAATTTGACTTATCCTGTTCGAAATTCTACTCCCACCTCCCTTTGTGAGTAGGGGACAACAGTTATATTCATGTTATAACTGACAATTCATAACAGATGTACAACTGGCTAACGGAAGAGGTTTATATGATAGATAAAAAATAACTTTTACCTATATTTACCTGTACACTATCGGCGCAAATGAAAGACAAAATCGGCGCAAGTGAAAGAAAAAAAGTGAAATGCAGATCGGCGCAAATGCAAAAAGTCGAGTTCAAAATTCATATTTTTATCATTATTTTTATTAGAACGGAGGTTACAGATAGTGTAGTATCTTTTGTGTCCATTTGTGTTTAATTTCCACTAGGTATCAGTGCGACGATTAATACCACTTTTCTTGGAAGATGTAGTTTCACAATGTTGGAATCCGTGATAAACGCGAAATAGGACGTTATAATTTGACGTTTTTTCCATGGCTAGAAACAACGTCATAGAGCTTTTATGTCACTACCAAGTTGCGTTAGTTGATGTGCATCAACAATAGGCTGTTTGGTCTTTAACCTGTTGGTGGCGAAAAACGTCAAAACGTTAACATTGTAAGGTAGTCCTACAACGAGATGACATTACATTTTTTCGACGTTTTGTGGCATTTTTTCACCTAGCACACCACTTTGAATGATGTATACCGTTAAAACGAAGTCGGTGACCCTATCAATAGCTTACATCTTTAAACCGGAAATTTTTGTACCAACAACATATCGTTTTTTTATGGAAAAATCTATGTATTTGAAATTAGAGATTTTATGATTTTAAGACAAATTTATGAGCGTTTTTCGCCGATTTTATGTGCTTCCTATACAAATGTTCACATATTTTGAAAGAATTCAATCAGTAATATTTCAGAAAATAAAAGATAATGGCATTGATTTTTTCGATTTTCAGATAAAGTTCAACGAGCTAAAGTTGTATGCAAAATTTTAGGAAACTCTGTGACATAGCCCATTTACTGTAATTTGACCTTAAGAGACAAAACAAGAGAAATAACTTTGCATGTATTATAAGCACCCCTGATACCAGCCTAATAATTTATAATCGTTAGCAAAACATGTATTACAAAAAAATGGATTAACTGATTGCTGCTTGCTTAGAATTTAAAAAGAATATTTCATGCATATCTACGGCAAAGGATTGATTGATGCTGGGATGCTTAACGTCAAATGGCAAGTATTTCATGCATGTTTAGAACGACATCAAATTTACAATCAATTCAATAAGAAGGACACGTTTGGGCGTTTTTTTAATATGGACACAATTGAGCGTTCACATAAAAGAGACGTTTGAGGGGATTGAACACTTTTTTTTATATAAAAAGGTCACGATTGGGCGTTCATTAAAAGGACACGTTTGGCGCCCTTTAGCAACTAGATATGTTTTTGCAGTTCAGTGACGTCATATGAACACTTTTTGGGGAATTGGACACGTTTGAGGGGATGGACAAGTTTCTGAGAGTTACATATATAATAAAATTATGCCCGAAAAAACTTGTAAAATGCGACAAAACATTCGAAATGATAAAATAAAACAAATGGAAACCAAAAACTTTCCAATAAAAAGCTAGATTTTGTCAGACGATATCTGGGAGTAACAAAAGTGTAAGACATCCATATTCCAAGATTTACCAAGGATACAAACAAAAAAGTATTTTGTACTGAACAAAAAGGCTTTTGGTCTCCTATCTTTTTGTAGTGTTTCATTTGCAAAATGAATAATGTTTGAAAAAGTGTAGCAACAACTCGGAGGACGACATTGATTTTAAACAGAATTTCTCCTAGATTGGTACTTGCTGGTGAATCACTCAATCTGAAACAATCTGCAATATATAATCCACAAGTTGCAAAGGAACTAGTGATTATAACAAACTGATCTAAGCTCATTCCAGTATGAGATTCTTGTTTTGATCTTAGTTGTCCATTTAAGGCATAAAAGCATTTGATTATAAGCGGCGTTCGTACTATATTAGCACAAAAGAAGACATCGAAGGAAAATTTCCTGTAATCTGTCATTTTTTCCCTCGGTCCATAAATGTAAATACATTGAATTAGCATAAATGAGAAGTTATAAAGAAATCCAATCACCAGGACACATACTGAATTTTTATGCCAGACACTACAGCGTGGCAATAATGGATGATGTTCACCATCTTGGTCATCGTTTTCTACCAGTAATGTCTGGTTTTCATCGTCTCTGCTTCTTGAAAGAGAATTGTTGAGTGTCTCAAATTCAGCATTCTTTTTTGGCCACATTTCGGAAAGGAAGATTAAACTTAGAAGAGAATATTCTAGTAGTACAGGCTGCAGATACGGATTCAAAAATCCAACCGCTGTTGCAAGTCCATCGCCGTATAAACAGTTTGAGATAGTATTATTAATGAGGTCGCTAATATTTATCTCGAGCCTAATTCTGTTCGTATAGAAAGTTTGCTGTGTCCACATTGAAATATTTGTCACACAGAGAACCAGTAAACCGTAATACAAACACAACACATTTGCAAATTTAAATCTAGAAAAATAGTGAATGAAAGCAGTTTGACAAATCTGAAATGTCCAGGTGAACGTCCAAAACAGTGTGACTTGGAGGTTGTAGATCTTACATAGAAGATGCGTTGCTAGTTGTAAGGCTTGATACGTGATATTCCCGATACAAAATAACCAGAGAAATTTTAGTTTCATTTGATCGCTTGGTTTCACAGTCTTAACTTCGACCCAGGTAGAACGGCATCGAACTACAATGCTACACAACACTAGACAGATTAACGCTAGACCTGAAAGTCCTACCATCAACAAGCGAGACTGATTCACTGGCAGTACAACTATTATTTCAAAGATAATAATCATGGCTGTTGTCAAAAGAACTACTCCAGCAATACTGCCGTCATGTATTGAAAATCCTCCATTTCTTCGCTCCTTAATGAGACCAGCAGAAAAAGGAACGATGAAAGTAGCACGCAAAATATTACATAGTAGATTCGTCATTATTCTGCTGCAATTAAGATAAAATGACTTGAAGTATTGCTACCCATTTATTTTTTGTTAATTTGATTTTCTTCCCTGAGATGCATTAATTCTTTACAATAACAATTTATCAAACACCAAGCTAGCAATTGTGTTATATATACATTCAGCCTAAACAATGGGAAATCAGGTACTAATTAGCCGAGAACTATAGTAAGTGACTCCTATTTGTTTTTATTTGTTTTTCTTCCTGAATATGCATGAAATCAAATTCTCCAAAAAACGAAAAGTATTAAAATATGACATATGACAACTACTGCAATTAAATACAGTAAGAAAATTATTGTTTTGTGGATCTTGCGTTTCTATCAAGATTTGTTTCTCGGTTGTATTTAACAAAAGCAAAAAGATTAACTTTTTTTTATCATATCAGTACGACTTATTTAATGCATATTTTCATGTGCCTGTCCTAAGAAGTTGTAATTTTCTAATTCAAAAAATTATGGATAAGTATATACCATGGTTCTTACGAGTTAACATATATAAAAAAAAAACGAATGCGTTTGGCCTAGGAATAGTATTATAGTATGTCTCTTATTTGACTTACAATGGTGGTCTGGCAAATATGAAGAGTTGAAACAAGCAGATGCGGATCCAAGAGTGTGAAAGGGGGGGGGGGGGGCACATTAGACAAGATTAGGAGTGGAACATGTAATAATATGATTATCCATATATGCAGCTCCATAAAAGGGGGCTTGGGCCACCTTCCACCCTAAATTCGCCTCTGACAAGGATATTCAACATTATTGTAATGACGATACGTTTTGTTTTATTGTAAATTTTCAAGATATCGTACAAATATTTATATTTTTCAGTCTTATTTTATTTGAAAAAGTGTGTGAATTGTACCTTTTATCTTTTCGTACAAACGGCTTAGTTATTTGGTTTGATTTATTAATTTACATCCACAGGCTTTTAAATGAGCATAAAATAGATTTGAAAACGAAAATATTAACTACATTTATGTATCATTTAAAAACCACTATACGATATGTTTTCCTTATTTTTTGTATGGTTGGTTAATGGTTCTCATTTGAAATCATATTTATATAAATTCTTAAGAGGCGACAAAACACAATTTATAGGATTATTACCAAACTCTTAATTATTAAAGACAACAAAAATATTACAAATGGATTTTTCTCTCGGTTAATCTTTGTTCAGTTTCCTAAATAGTTGAGAGCAGGATATATTTCAGAAAAAAAGGGATAACAAAAACACAGAACTCCAAGGAAAATTCAAAAAGGGGATGTCCATAAAAAACCGACAAAATCAAACGCTATCAATCAAGTGACATAGTGAACAAGTGAAAAACAACTGCCATATTTCTGACTTGGTACAGGCATTCAGAAAATGGGGTGAAGCTTCAGCCATGGAAAAACATCAAAATGAACATGGTTTACTATAGTTAAGATCCCCCAACTTTCCTCTAGATTCTAGTTGAGTTTCATGTTTCGTTATCAAAGTATGGTACAACATAAAATTGCAGATAGTAGACCATGGTTTACCCTCAACACAGTTTTAAAGCAAATTATTTCATTAAACCATCACAAGAAAAAAAGCAATTTATATTAACAATTGTGCTTAAACTTGGGTTACAACTCTCTGAGGCAAAATATACCTTAGACGACTTTATTTGTTTAAAGTTGACCTTTCGGTTACAATGCCCTAAAATGATAATATTTTGTCTCTCCAATCTTGTGGACACGAACGTGGCTGATGAAAGGTATTCCATAGTGAATATGTTGTGCGCACCAAAAAAATCATGTTATTTTTTTTTATACATTTTATCGTTTTATACTAACCGCTGCTTGTGGAATATCAATCCCCTACCTTACCATTTGCCTAGTAGCTGGTGCTTCGGTATTGGCATGATTTAAATGACACATTTATTTTCAAATTTTCAATTAATAAACTATATGTAATAGTGCTCAAACTAAGGTTGCAACTCCTTCAGGCAAAACTAATCTTATTTTTTATTGTAATTGGTCCTTTGAAATTTATGCTGGAAATCCTAATATCCTTTATATGTTTCTTTGCATTTTAAAAAGATTTCTTGTACTATGAAATTTTAAATGAATCCTGATATCATATGCGACCTTGAAAATCCTTTATATGACGAAACAATATTGACCATTTGAAAAGTAAGCACTTCTCTATGTGTTAAACTTTCTTACCTTTTTATTGCGTATAGTGGAGTTAAGTTTATGGGTTTATTTGAAATACTTCCTTGTATTTGTAATTGATTAAATAAAAATTTTTACCATGACCTTTGAACACGAGTTTAAATACAAATATAGCTTTGAAATGTTATGAATTACACTATTTCGACGTATTGATAACAATCAGATGCATTCGGTAAACTGATGGTTTACCTTTTTCGATACATTCTAAAAGATATATATTTATAGCTTAAGTCCTTATTTTTAAAGATTGTGGCAATAGTACTTTAACTTTTTGGAAAACCCGGATGATTGGTAAGATCTGTGTATATAACTCATCAATGTGATATTAAGTTTTATTTACATATAGTGAATATTTGAAATTATGTGTAGAAGTGTACCAAAAATTGGATGAAAAACTCGAGCATCAAAGATACCGGGCTAATAACGTGCTACTCCAGACGCGCGTTTCTTCTACATAAAGACTCATCAGTGGCGCTCGAACCAAAAGAGTTAACAGAACAGACTAAATCAAATACGAAGTTGACGAGCATTAAAACCAAAATTTTTGAAAATTAAAGTTATTGTAAGTTACAGTATAGTTCACTTCGGTTCTTAATAATGATTGTTCATCCTAATTACTGACGATTCAAAGTAAAACGTACCAAACTTGCTGCCTTTGATTCGAATATCTATTATATTTACTTTCAAATGTGCTCTTTAAAATGCAATACCACATTCAGAAATAAAAGAAATCATTTCATTAAAAAAAAAATGTCAATTGTTGCCCTTTGCTTAGTTTTGCTACACATATTGAAAGTCGCACACATCGTATATACTAAAATCCCGAAACCGCTTCTGATTGAAAAATTTTACATTCACTTAAATAGCATTTTCAAAAATTTACAACGATGCAAAAATGAGTTTTAGTGGAATATCTGCTTTGCTATATGTCACAAATGACTCCCTAGGAAGAGTTATTGCTTAGAATCTATTTCATGTATAGAGAATGTCATTCTCCAAACAAGTGCATTGAGATATACGTGGAAATCAGACTAGATAGTTACAAGTTTTAGCAAAAACTGAATCGTACACAAATCACAACATTTAAACAATAAAATATTAAGAGAAAATGTCTGTATTATTGAATTTGCGATAATGCAAATGAAAAAATAGGTTCAACTCAATAATTTAACATGTTATCTTTATAAAAAGTAATTCTAAAAGTGCTAACCTCATAGAGTTTCGAGCTCGGGGAAAAAGAGAGGCGAGAGATACAAATGGGATCATCAAACTCATAAGTCGAATTCAAACTGACAATGCCATGGCAAAAAAACGAAAAACGACGAAAAGACAAACAACAATCTACAAAATTCAACATAAAAAACTAAAGACTGAGCAATACGAACCTCAACAAAAATCCGGGGGGGGGGGAGGGGATATCAGATACTCCCGTAAGCATATCCTGCTCGACATTTGGCATCCGAAGGTTTGCACCGGAGGTGAGTTATTTGTGAGAATAAGTTAACAATTTGATGATCTATCTCTTCTCAATTAAACAGAAGACTAAATGAACAAGGAACGAATCTCATCTTTACCATAAATGATATAAAAAAAAGAAAAGAAAAGAAGCGGGAAATGCATCAATGCAGAAGCAAACCAACAACAGATTTAAGATTAATAGTGTTTCTGCCCCATCTCGCTATGGAGCTCCACACGAGGATTCAAATATATAAGTTTTCAAATTCCCTTTACTCAGATTGAAGGGCTATCTTAATAAACAATTTTATTTGGTTGCCTGGCTGCCTAGTCTCGGGACACGTAGCAATATATATTGAATATATGAGCATGAAATATTCAGAAATGTTTTTGATTAGATTAAAAAAAAATCAAAAGTTTCTAATATAATGCGATTTTGGGTGTATACGAGAAAGATGAAATGATTAAAGCGCACGCACACATACACGTCACTTCTTATTATAGATTTTTTCTTCTCTTTTCTTGTTTTTTAAAATTGTTATGTCTAATATTATAGATTTTACAATTTTAAGTTAATATTTGCATTCTTGAAAAAATCTATTGTAATATGATGTATATAAGGAGAAGACACTCCAAGTTTGAGTAGCTTTTGTCTCGTCTTTTTTGCTTTGTTTTTGCAAATTAAATATATTTTAACTAAACCAAACCACAAAAAACAAAAAGACATTCAGGGATATGAATAAAGGAGATTTGAAGCTATAGTAAAAAAACACATCCTAAGAACAAAATGGAAACACAGAGGCCAAATTGAGTTTGTCATCAGTACATAAATTGCTAAACAATACTCTTAATCGCTTTGAGTCTTGACTCGTGAACAAAGGAGGCATGATAAGGCCCTTATATCGCAAAAATAGTAAAATTCTTCAAGTCTTTCAAAAATATGTCTATGTGATACATAAATAATTATGACGATATAAATATGGAACCTTTAGTGCAAAAATGTACTTTATGACATGTAAAAATTGACATATTTGAATCAAAATGGCATTTTTTCCCCTATTTTTCAGCAAAATAAGATATCAGCCAAGTCCTTACCCGAAAAAATATTTTACTCACATTAATTTATTTGTGAGATACATTATACAGCAGACTATCTTTTTGGTTACGGCCTTCGCTCATATCTAAATACAAATTACAAGATCTTAAAGTATGGCTTTTTTGACAGTTTTTGTAGTTTTGCACTAAAGGCTAGAAGTTTGAAGCCTCAAGAAGCTGTGTAAGACAAATTTCAGAAATATAAGAATTGATAACTGATAGGAATTATGTATTGTCAACATCTGGAGCAACAACTATACGACTGAAATGTCATGCTGCAAGTCCAGCAAAATTATGTCGATTAGAGTAGCAAAGAATTGGACGTCAATTTGGAATTCTAATTTACTATGACATCAGATTGGACCCTGATTTCAGTAACAGACGTCGATTTGAGACCGGCCGTCGATTTGAGTCCAACATATATACTCATGAGCAATTCAGTAATCAGTCAAATTTTCCAGACTTTTTATCTGATAAAATTGTTCAATTAGATAGATACAGTGTCCAGAACAGAAAACATGTTAACGCACACCTCCACTTTGGACAAAAACTCATAGTTTAAATAAAAATACTTATGAAAGGATACAAATGTAATCAATGTGCCAAACATCGTACGTAGACATTTTGGTGTACACTCGAAACTACGCACAGAGACATGATCGACACAATAGTTGAAAATAGAAAACAGTATGTCCCCCTGGAATATACATTTGAGTATCGTCTGTAAATAGGTAATTCTATACCAATATCTTTAAAGTTTAGCCAATATCCTTCTTGTAACTATTAATGTGCTATTTAAAAAAAAATACAACACAGAAGAATGAAAAGAAGGGAGATAGTATTTATTAAATATCTTGTGAATGACAAAGACCATAAACATGGTATATCTAAATCTTGACATGGTTATACATAATATTTATATATTACACATATAAAAATTACTGTGCTCCCGATTGACATCCAAGCATGTATACCTCCATCAACAATAAATATAAATGATGGTTATAAGAGTTTGTTGGAATTTTAATGTATCATAGTCATAGCTATAATTAAAGTAAAAATATGTAAATGAAGCTTCATTCTTTTGGTGAGGTACAATGTATAATAAAACAGTTATTATTAGATTTTTTAGTTCGTACCTATTGGCAGCGCTTAAGTGTTAGCTGTTCCCTGCAAAGACAGAACGTGAGAATAAAATATAAGAACATTTGTGTTAAGATTTAGTCCAAAGTCATAAATGAATGCGATAAAAGTCTGTCCAATATTTTTGGTCATTCCTGGTATATATCCTTTTAATATATAACTTTCAAATTTATATTTTTATCAAACTTTGATAAAACCAAGCATTTATGTCATCAAATAGCACCGCCTTCCATTGAAGTCGAGTTAATTTTTCAATCGGTCATACAAACCATAAAAGGATACAAAAGCATTGAATCTGTAAAAGATCACAAATGGGTATAAAAATCCAAAGATTTCTGTCCAATCAGATGACCCAAAGAAATGATATGGTGCGTCATTTTTGTAAACATATTGTGAAACTATTAAAGTATCAGCCGCCCATGAGCATAAATTCACAAAAGACATTAATAAACAAGTGTATTCCACAGACGTCCACGAGGATATATTAAAGGCCTTCGAATATTGTTTCATTTGTAGGATGAAAACTGTTTGGAAATAAGCAGCGAATATATCAATAACCAGTTTATAAAAACCTATAGCATATGTGGTTTCAGAGTTGACATTGTAAATATCTGACATAAGTTTTACCGTGGAATATGAAATTGCTGCAACCACACTTGCAATTAAAATGTAATCACTAGAATCAAGCGAGGTACATTCCCTTTGTTTCAAAGGTTTACATTGAGTCTGAAGAGAGTAAAAGCATTTCACATACAAAAGCAACTCAATAGTAGCTACTACAGCTATTGATATTGTTTTGCCCAACTGCACAGATGGTACTTTCGAAATTTGTAAACAATATAATATTACTGATGGCATATTTAGAAGAATAGGAACAGTTATGCTTATAAATCTTCTTATACGATGTTGTCGGTTGTTACTTGTGTTTCCAGTATTGTCTAATAAAGGAATGCGCTCATTATTCCGCCTGCTATTTGTCGATTCTGACCTCTCATTTGTCGACCCTCTCAAATTGCTCGTCGACTCTGACGTTTCTTTGTTTCCGTCAAGCGAAATATCATCAAGCACGAACGTTTCCCTTTTCAATCCAAATGTAGGCCACATATTCATAATAAATGTAATCGAAACAAGCGAATATTCACAAAATGCCGGTAACAAGAAAGGATTAATCTTCATCAATACCTCGTACATACTTGACTTGAAGCAAGAAGTATTACTCGAAGTATGGTGGCTTATTGTCGACGAATTTAAAATTTCATTATCCATGGGTTTAAAAGTAGAAGCCAAGGCATGACATATTACAGAAATATTTGTCAGGAATATAATAAGTAATCCATAATAAATACCAAGGTGGCTGGTAAATCGCGAATGCGAAAAAAATGTAATGAATGCAGTTTGCACCACGTAAAATACTATACAGACAAGATCATACACTATTGTGTCTACTGTAAATTTCAGGGTCATTGAGTTTGTTAGACAATCGATATAAAAGGTCATGTCCAATGTTCTTGAAATAATACAGCTGAAACAAAAAATCCACAAAAACCTGAGTCTTATTGTATTACATTTATTCCAAGGTAAAACATGAAACACACTGTTCCCTCTAGATGACACGTATAAACTGATACACACGCAAAGTGCAATCGCTAGAGCAGATAGAAATGATAAGACTGCTAACCCAACGCTGAATTTAGTTGAAATAGTCTCGTTAGTTGAAAATCCAATCATCAGTATCTCAGAAAGGATAGCTATTGAAGTGGTCATCAGTAAAAGTCCAGACAAGCTGCCATCATGTGAACCATTCCCCTCGTCTACATTACCTGCCGAAAACGGTAGAACAAATGCAGCTCGAATTACTCCTTTAAAGAATGTCATTCTTTTCCTTCTGAGGATAGAACTTTAAAGAAGTCTAACACATTTTATTGTTGTTTTGTTGCCAAAATAATCTGATACAGCGAAAAATAAACTTTCTAAACACATTCATTTGTTAACTTTAAATATTTTTTAAATTATGATCTAACAACTGAAAAAAATATAAAAGACGCACTGTCAATGAAGTGAAAATAATAATACAATCGGTAGCTAATTTATCCAATCAAAGTTCTTTACCTCACCTGTTTATATGCGGAACTAAACAAGGAAGGAAATATTACTAAAATCAAAACTACGGGAAGGATAATTGAAATGTTAAAACTGATTCGCTCACCTGGACCACAAGCCAATGCGATTTAATGTAAAAGAGAGGCGAAAATTACCAAAGGGGCATTCAAACTCATAAGTCGAAGATAAACTGACAACGCCATGGCAAAAAAAGAGAAAAAGACCAAAAGACAAAACAACAATATACAAAACACAACATAGAAAACAAAAGACTGAGCAACACGAACCCCACCAAAACCGGGGGTGATTTCAAGTGCTCCGGAAGGGTAAACAGATCCTACAAATGTGGCACCCGTCGAGTTGCTCGTGTAAGTACAAATCCGGAGATAAGTCTAATTCGGTAGGTCACATTTGGGGAAAAGGAAGACGAGATTGTGGTTAGACGATTGCTCCTATCAATAAAAAGGAGCATTGTTGGTGAATTGCAACATGTTTTGTTATTTTAAAAAGCAATTTCTTTGTTTTATATCCTACTATAAGTGTAATATGTGTAATACAAGTGATCTTAAATTAACGATACTCTTATAAGAATATAAGATAAAAAAAAAAGTTTTATACTCGATTCGTTAAGTGCTTGGCACATTGTACAAACACTTGTCTTTTGTTGAATATCTTGTGCTGACCTCTAAAGTTATTTTGTAGAAGCATTTGCCACTTTCAATTCCGTTAGAATAGCTAGATTTTTTCCAAACAGTAGTTATTTTTAGGATTGTTTTTTTCAAAGTCAGTCAATCGATACATGATAGCATACTTACAATAAAACTATTCCCTATTTTGTGAATTTGTTAAAAGAATATTAATTTACTTCAAGGCGAACCATATCTTAATATCCTTGCAAAGTAAAACAATATTCCAAAAGATAATTTAAAAGAAAACAATAGTAAAAAAAAAGAGAGATAATGCTATGGCCATAAAAAAAGGACGAACAAACAAACACCAATCAACAAAACACTAAAGAGAACACTGATGATTGTTCAACACGAACCAAAATAACAAAAAACTAGGGGTGAACCTCTGTCCTCTGGAAGGCTTTGTAGTGCCTTCTCAAATAGTACCACACGTGTTATTCCTAATAAAATCCATTACTGAAAGATATCCTGTGATAAGTTAATCCATCACAGCTTATTAGTAGAGGTCGACTCTTTTTTTTGCCACAAAACCTTCCAAATGTATAAAGCATTCGTATACTTAAATTTGATTACCTTTCATGACTGAATACGGAAGTTCGAAATAGAAACTATTCTTTTTCCGACAAAGTTTTCTGTCTTATATACGTATATCCCAAATTTAATGTTATTTATATTAAATCAAGAATCACATAGACCATTATTGATAGAAATATCAGGTAAGTTCTATGGCGTTTTAAGAAGCAAGGCGAGCAACGATTTTTTGTTCCAGGGGAAACTTTTGATCAATAAATCATATAACGATCATGTTTACATATGAAAAAAATATAGTAAAAACGCCAAATAAGTACAAAAATCGCCTGTTAACGATTTTGATTAAAACTAGAAGAAAAATGTACTTTTCTTGCTCAACTAACCGGAAACAGGAATTTAAACTAGTTGCAGTATCCGTCTTGATTTAATGAGCAAAAATGTTATGGAAAAACAACACTTTACCAGTAAAATATTCTTTAAATAAGAATAGACTTACGTTTTCAATTTTTTTAATTGAATTTATGAGGAGTAACACCCACAGAAATGTACACTTTGATCTGCAAGCGTCGATCAAAATATAATTGCCGTTGTAGATTCAAGTGTGACAACCAACATGTGTACTCAATGTTTTATTGGATTTAGATCATGAACTTGTTTATTAAGCAAAAGAAAAGCGTCGAATATAATTAACTAAATATGTTATCTTCATAAAATAAAACTGGTGTCATTCAAAATATTCGGAGCACATAAAAGTAAGATGACTAGAGAGGAATGTGATGACCTGAAACTCACAATAAAATTGTTAATCATTTATATAAGGAAAATTAAAGACTTAAAAGAAAGTAATACTCTCTTAATTTCCTCGTATAAGAACAAGAGAACAAATATATTTCCACTGTTTTATTATGGTATAGTAATTGATGCTATAACGAGGAAGCATGTTCATTGTTAAATTGAAAATTAAGAAAATTAATTAGAAAATAGGGAAAATATTTTCTTGTTTTATTTCTTTGTCTGAACTGCTTTGATTTAATCGTGCGAAAGAGAGGAAAGCACTGGTTACTATCAGCATATCGAAATATCGGTAAGTTTTTTGTGATAGGTTATGAGGAGGGTGTTAGTATTTAACAATGGAAACATATCGATCAAAATGTAGTCCTTTTTGCATTTTTATGCACTTGTCCTAAGTCAAGAGCCTGTTGTTCAGTGGTTGTCGTTTATTGGTGTGGTTCATAAGTGTTTCTCGTTTCTCGTTTTTTATAAAGATTATACCGTTGGTTTTTCTGTTTGAATTGTTTTACACTAGTCATTTTAGGGTCCTTTATAGCTTGCTGTTCGGAAGGCCGTACTTTGACCTATAATTGTTAACTTTTTATACATTGTGACTTGGATGGAGAGTTTTCTCGTTGGCACTCATACCACATCTTCTTATTTATACTTAATACAAATTGGAAAATTACATTGAAGAAAATCTTAAAATCGAAATAACATAAAAGGTACCAAATTTACTGGACTAGATACGCATTTCAACAACTAATGTCTCTTCGGTGATGCCTAAAGCCAAAATACTTGAAAAACCAAAAAGGACCATGTAAAGCTGAACACGGACAAGGAATAAAAGCCATTCAAGAGGGAGATGCATTCCTTAATTTAATTTTTTTTTGAGATTACTCTTGCAATTCATACCATAATGTTATGTTGGCCTCACTATTACAAATCATTTGTAGGTTGCTTTCCATAACTATTATTAAGCTTCAGGATTTTAGCGTTTGTTTGAACGTTTTGGTCCTAAAATATAGAAAATTGCCTGAAAATATCAATTTCCGCTCACTTTTGCTGCAATTCTTAAACCAAATGGTTTACTATATGGTGTACAGTATATGTACTATCATAGTACGTTTCAGATCAAGTTAGTTTGAGTTTCGTTCCGGTTGAGGGATTATTTGCTAGAGTTTTCTTACTTTGACATATAAAAATGCCTTGAAAAATATCAGTTCTCCGCACTTTTTTCTGTAATGCCTGAATCAATGGATATAACATTTGATGTATAGTAAGCTAAAGGAGATACAGATAGATTTGAGCAATTTTTGCAGGAATTGTGGTCATTGGATATAGAAAATTGCTTTAGAATGTAAGCTTTTAGAGAAATAAAACCTTAAGATCTAATGGTTCCGTTGGGTCTGCAGTTGTAAATAGTATCCGTATTTTTTGATAAACAGTCTGACCCAAAACAGTCTGACCCAAAAACACTTTAACTTTCGTGCGTCAGAAGCGCTTTTATGGATCTTCCTTCATCGGGAACGCTCAAACCAAACCATTTAAAAGCCAAGGATGTGTAAGACTAAAACACTCGAAGAAGAATAAGGGCATAAAATATAGCCGGATTCATCGGAGGTCAATTTTACCATGATATTAAAAGTCCCAACTACAGTAGTAAAAACTTTTAAATGCTTGTCCCATATAAGTGTATACTCATCCAATATTAACGTTATAGCTAAAAGGAGACATCATGTTGCACATGCAATATCCTCAGAATGTTTGGTTTTATTGATTGTTGATTGTTGGTTGTTGGTTGTTGAACGTCCAGTGGCAAATATATCATGCATGTTCAGGTCGAATGTTTGATTTTGATATAAATATACAGCATCTAGTAAATGTACAATAAGGTTTTATGATAACCAATACGAAATTTTGTAATACATTTCTTTTTATTTTTATTTTTATTTTAGAAAAAAAATCATCAAAGGTACAAGGCTAATATTTGTTACGCCAGGCGCGCGTTTTAAGTTATCTTCAATAAGGGGCTACATAAGACTCATTAGTAAATACTAAATTTAAAGAAATAAAAGTTTATTATATTTCAAATTTGAACATTAATTTGTGACAAAACTTTGCCTAGTGTTTTTATTTTTTTAAATTGCATTTAAATGCAAAGAAAAGTGTTATGTAATTTTCAATCACATTAAGTACACAGAAATTTAGAAAACATATATGTATTGATTTTCATCGTCTTCCGAAATCAGGCAACAAAAATATTTGAATTCGAACAATCGATCGGAACACTTACAATATGAAAATGATGTATCTACTGTATATAAGATATAAAAAATTTATTAGTATTAAATCCAAACAATGAGATTGTTACAAAATACACATGTAGCACAAAATACAAATAAACAATACAAATATGAAACATTGACAAAAAAATCTAAGTTTGTTTGTTTGTTTGTTTTTTTTCTTAATTGCTACACAACATGCCTCTCCTCAAATTAGCATAACAATTATTACATTAAGAACTGTTATGAAAAATGAAGAAAAATCCTGCTTACCTTTATCATATGTTCATTTATATATTAGGTTATTCGAAAGAGAAAAATATAGTCATATAAATCCATACATGTAAAATACACAGTTCATGAATATATGTTAATATTATTTCTGTAATTATACATTTTACTTATGGCATTATAATAATCATATTCCTCACAAAATTTTTTTTTTTCAATTAGTCATTGAAATTAAACTAGGAACAATGTCAAAAATTGCATTTCTCTTCCACCTCTATATTCCATAGGGGACGCAATCTATTTTCTAAAGCTGTTTTAATGTATCTACCACGTTAAATAGATAGCTTGCTGTTTCTTCTTATTTTGGGATATTTTGGGATATTTTTTTATATCATTTTTAATCTAAATTCATTAAAAGATGATTTTCAAGTTCGTACTTCACTTTAAATTTTCTGTAAGTTCTTAACTTATTTCCATTAATCAAATTCTCATCATTAAAAAGACAATTTTTCCAAAATGTATTTTAACTTTCATTTAGCTTCTTTGTTGAAACAGAAAGTAATCGTTTTCTTTAGAAAAAAGTACTTTGTTTTCTAAAATGTCACTTTGGAGAATAAAATTTTGATTTTTGGAACAAAACCTCCACGTAATTGCTGGGTAACATTATAAACATGATATAATAAAGGCTCATTTGAGTTTAAAATATTCTGCCAGATTCTTTGGAAGACTTTGGAGGCTGTTTACAAACGGACAACTCACAACATCCACAGTTTAAGTATACTGTATGAGAAACGTGACGAGGAAATAATTCCTTTGAAATTTGTTGTCTATTATCAGTTCGAAATTAAACTACAGCACTTAATACTAACAATACAGTTTCGTTATAACAGAAAATGAGAAAAAAAAAAAAACAATATGGTGTTGAAAAATAAGGAAATGATTACAGAAAACAAATACTTTCTATCATAATTTACTTCTTTTTGTTGTTGTTTAAATTCTATATTTTCCGAAAAAAGGAAGAATATGCATAGCGACATGCATGTGTACCTTCATCTGTAGACCTTTAATATTCTCGGTTTCGATTAGCAGAATCACATTTCACCGAATGAAAGCTTTCATATGTTAAAAATCCAGCGGAGGAAATTTCAGTCTACTGCGGATTCTCATGCATTGTAAATTTGTACAGCAACTTAAGTGAACATGCGAATAGTAAATTGAATGATTAATTTCTTACAGACACACAATGATGCTAGATATGCTACGAAGGATTATACATGCTGCATTGGTAATGCCTTTTACAGCAGGACTAGTGACAAAGCGTGAAAATGGCAGATTTTCGGTTCATGATGCAAGTATATCCGGTCTAGTGCTATTGACGACTCTAGTTATAGCGGTTCTTGAAGTGATGTTGATATTTCCAACCAAAGATTCTAGATGGGTGATGGTTGGATTACTAGCTTTTGCCATATGTATCTTAATCACTTGTAGCTTTCTAGTTCACATAAAAAGCGATTGGAAGGTTTTTCATAGACGAAAAGTTACTGACAGACTGAAATTAGCGTTTCTGTGGCTCTTTTGCTTCGGAAATATAGTATCACAGGCGATGAAATTAGCTCTTCATATCCAATGCAATGTACGTGAGTCATTATCACAGAAATCAATTTACTATATAATTACTTGGCTTTTCGATCTCGGACAAACCATATTCATTGTTTATTTTTCACGATTCAGATTTGCAAATATTAGGTGTTTTTATTATATACTGATGTTTTTGTTTGTTGCAAACATTTCTTTGTGGACACGTAACAATTTAGACTTGTACTTTGAAGACATAAAAGACATTTTGAATAACTCTGGACACCTATGCAATAACGCCACAACTCTGTATAAAGCAGGAAGGATACTAAAACCATTTCTGGATCCGGTGTTGCTTGAATATTGTCTGTTAAGTTTGATATTCATTTCTCAAATGTGGCCAAAGCAGTACGTGTCACTTGACAACATGCATTTATTTGATTCTACTTCCCTTTCTCAAGACAATGGAGAAAATTATCCGCTTTTATCGAGAAATATAGCAGTTCTTAACAGGCATACACCAATGAATAGGAAATCAAAGTGTATAGTCGGACTTGTTATATTGTTTTTTTTATCCTTCATTATGATCCAGTGCATTTTAATGTACATAACAAAGTTTAACCAAGCTGGTGCACCCAGTGCATACTATCTTTTCGGAAACATTTTGCGAATACCACTCACAATCAAATGTTATCATGCATTAGCTGGAGAACTACAACCAAAGGAAAGGCCACGGAAAATAATCAACATTCAACATTTTATTATCCTTTCAACATCTCTTGCTACTTGTGGTTACTACATTCTTGAAAGTCTCGGGATATTTCGTAATGACATCAGAATCCATCTTAATACAGTTGTTAGAGTTACCGTCACGATTTTACAGACAACTTTTATTCTACAGATGAAGCAATACCGAAAGTTTAGCAGTTCCAATTCTGTATTATCAATCCGAAACATCTTTCTTGTGATGTGTTTTGTAAATTTCAGCACTTGGTTTTCGTATACATTTATGTATGTTCCGTACGAGGGTTTTATTAATCAACCGCTGTTTGACAGTACCACTTGGCTGAAATTTAAGCATTTCTGGGTTCCGTTTGTAATTTTCTATCATTTTGAATGCTTTATAATGTTTTATCATTTCTATAAAGAATGAAATTTCACGATTTGCAGTAAAATTCTAATGAATGGCCACCAGACTCAAGCTATCGAACAATAAGCCAGCGAACAATAAGATGCATCAAGCTAGCGAACAATGAGCCAGCGAACAATAAGAAAAACGCGCCAACCTGATCATGCCCAAAAACCGAAGACTTGCAATAACATGAAACGTGCTTTGAAATCTGATGAGAATCATTTCCAGTAGGAAGACGATATGCAATTCATTTTCACAGACACGTTTATTTGATACAACTTTTTTTTAAGCCGGGCATCTAAAATTACTTTAAGCTAATCCATTCTCTTTTTAGTGTTCTCTGATTAGAGATGGGTTTATTGTCTGTATAATAATGAACCAAGTTATAACAATAGTTTATTCTAAACTAGTGTAACGATACAATTAAATCTTCTAGCTTATATATGCGTTTGAAAAGAAAAGAAAAAAAAACGGACTGATTTTTATGTTAGATTTTCTGTTGAAATAAAAGCTGATAACTATTATACGTAGTTTCTTCTTTTGTCAAAGAACGAGTACATTGTTCTTATGATTCAAAAGTATGTCGTTACACTGGTAATTTATTTATTATATTTCAATAGGAAGAGTGATTAGTGTCAGAGTGACACACAAATAGAACGAGAAACGAATTGAAATAAAGATTTTGGTTAATCTAAACGACTATTTTTTTGGATCCAAATCACAAATGATAATACTAAGGTTACCTGGACCCAAAGAACCAGGTGGGTAAAGTTACGGAACTTTTATAACTGAGTTCCAAAGTTGGGGTATGGTGACCCAACCCCCTCCCTTCTTTAATTCATAAAAAAGTCCCTACGGCAAAGCTTTTGTCCACACTAGGTACAAATGATAGGCAATGGCCTAAGGTTGTCTGGAACCAAACAAATAGGTGGGTAAAGATACGGAACTTCAACAACTGAGGTCCAAAGTTGGGGTATTGTGACCTAATCCCCTCCCTTTTTTAATCCATAAAAAGTCCATACGGTAAAGCTTTTGTCTACACTAGATGCAAATGATAGGCAATGGCCTAAGGTTGCCTGGAACCAAACACCTAGGTAGAAAAAAAATATGTTGTTATAAACATATATATAAACAAAAAATCAATTTGTCTTTGTGAAAATGTGTTTCTACTGAAAATGATTGTCATCAGATTTCAAAGGACGTTTCAGGTTAATATAAGTCTTCGGTTTTAAGGCGCGTATTTCTTATTGTTTGCTAGCTTGATACACCTTATTGTTCGCTGGCTTATTGTTCGCTAGATTGAGTCTGGTTGAATGGCCTTCAGGTTTAGGCAACAATTTACATTGTGTATCCGCGCTATAAAAATGGAAGATTTCTGTTGTCAAGAAATTATATTGAGATGAATGTAAAGTGTATCTGAAAATATTGTCATCCTATAAAACAGACTGAATCTCAATCAATAGTGTGTATAGAGATGCATCCTACGGTGTTCGAGAAAGACAGCCAAGAGACACACAAAAAAAAAAACCACTAAAGAAGGTAATATAACAATAGGGCAGTTGTTCTGAAATGATTACAGTAATCATAAGAAATAGAATATATCCAATGAATAACAAGACGTTTGTTAACTAACTACAACTCCACATTTTAACTTTACAATAGTAATCACTGAGTTGATTTCATCAATTAGTATTTAGTTTATGCAATAATTTTTTAAGGTTCAAAACCTTGCGAATGTCTACGTACGTTAACTATACTGAAGCGTCATTTCAATTCTTCTTAACTTGATGGCGATGTACCGTTTGCTTCTTCATTTCCCTATTGATTCGATGTGAACGTGTTCGCAGTGATGTCTTAGATTTCTATGAACGTAATATTGTTTATCGAAAACATCTGCAATAGAGATATTAATATTAGTATCATAAACTGCTTCAATATAGGAATTTGTTTAGGTAACGATTCCACTTAAAGGATATAACAACTATAGACTTCATAGTCTCAAGTCGGCCACCTGGTAAAAATATAATTTTGATATTTATTTTCACTCTTTATGAGGGTGTGGATGGGGTTTACAGAATAGAGAAAAATGGGCAAAAAAATAAAGAATAGAGAAAAATGGGTTAAAAAATAAAGAATAGTGAATGATGGGGTGCTAGAATATAAAAAAATAACTGCAAAAATTAAAGAATTGGGTAAAAATATACTGATTACAGAGAAGAACAATGTCCAAATACAGTTACCAATTAATTACAGAATAGTCATTACTTCTAAAGATAAAGAATAATGTTCGAAAAAATTAAAGAATACAGAAATGATAGACCCCCATCCATACCATCCTTTATGTCATGAAAAAATTCTAGAAAAGATAAAAAAACAAAACAAAATGTTTCGAATCCTCTACTAAATAAGCTCACCATTAATACCAAGCTTAAGATTGTGCACGCCAGACGCGCGTTTCGTCTTCAAAATTCTGATCATTGACGCTCGAATAAAAAAAGTTGAACTAAGCTATCATCACACGATTAAAGAATTTACTTGTTTAAGAGTGTTTTGCGGTAACTCTCTATTCATAATTGTTTTTAAGTCAATATCCGAAAACGTTTAAATTAATGGACAACAACGCAAAAAAAGAAATGATCATTTGACAACTCTTATGTTCAATCTTTTCCTTCTGTGCATTTTATCCAAGTCAGAATACAACTTGTGGTCAGTTATAAGGCATTTAACCCTTACCTTCTGTCTCTAGTCATTGCGGCCATGATGGAAGATACACTATACTATAATTTATAGTCTTTTTGACAACACAATAGGGATCAAACATTATTAGTTTATTAAAATTCGTTCTGTAGTTACAGGGGTAAAGATCTTTTCCATTGAAAAAAAAAAAATAAGAAAAAAAATAAATAAAACCACATAATTGGTAAAAATAGTCAGTCAAGAAATATAGCAGTTGTGTCATTTTGAAGGATATCAGATCAATAAATAATTAAGAGAAAATCTATCAATATTTATTTGCAAGAGCATTCACGACATGCTTCGGCAATACAGAATATATGCACAATGTGACAAAAGACTGATAGCAGAGAACAATACAATAATAACATAACTAAGAAACAATATCCATGCATTCTTCAAATAGATACAGAACTTAATTGTAAGCGATCTAGAAGTAGGTTTCAACAAATTAAATAGTTTAAAAGTATTTGGCCAAGAACAATAATAAAAATAATAACGTGGCAAAATGAATTTCTGATTGTTCTGTTGCATGTTACAACATACACATAAACGTAGTTCTCTTGGTTATATCACAGAGACGACCAACTGCAACATTTAGTTTCAATGTACCACACATTTCTATATACACTTAATTTCTCACAATCATATATATCTGCTGAAAATTTCTGCAGATATTGGTCTTTAATGTATGTAACATCAAATAACATTAAACAATATATCAATATCATTCTGGTCAATCCAAATATAGTTCATTCCAAGACTAAATAACAAATCACGCATATAAGATGGCCAATTTATTTTACCTTGATTTGCATCGTCATATAAATTTTCATGTACATCATATACAATAGCTGGTTTATATCTAACTCTACGTAGCCAATATTTCAAGATTTATTTTATATTTAAAACATAATCCATTGCATGTTAGATGTGTACTGATTGATATTTTAGTCTTAGATTCATGATTTTTTTTATTAGTTGTTATTGGCTTTGAACTAGCCGTCAGTAACTGCGAGTACTCTCAGATCAGTACTTAGTGTCTATTTTGTTGTAGGGATGTATAAATACCCTACCACATCCGGTCTTTGTTTTTGTTTCTTTTGTTTCTGCTTTGTATCGATCTGATGAGTTAAGCCCTTTTCAACTGATTTTTATAGTTTGTTCATATGTTGTACTGTAACACCACTGTCCCAGATTAGTGGGAGGGTTGGGTGCCCACTAAACATGTTAAAACCCGCCACATTCTGTATATGCCTATCCCAAGTCAGGTGCCTATAATTCAGTGGATGTCATTTGTTGCTTGTATATCATATCTGTATTTCGTTCATTGTTTTTTTTTATAAATCAGACCGTTAATATTCTCGTTTGAATTGTTTTACATTTGTCATTTCGGGGCGTTTTATAGCCGACTACGCGGTATTGGTTTTAATCATTCTTGAATGCCGTACGGTGACCTATAGTTGTTAACTCCTATGTCATTTGGTCTCTGGTGGAGAGTTGGCAATTATACCACATCTTCTTATTTCTTTATAGATAAATGACAAAGCTCGCCACAAAGAAAATTAATAGGAGCACGTTTACCTACTTTTTAAAACTAACCTACAAAAACGGTTATGAATAATTTCTATGTCGTTGGGGCGATGAAAACACCAAATTTCTGAAGAATAGGTCAGTACCTATCAAACCATACTATCCCAAAGAAGACACTGTTGATGTGTAGTAATGTAGATAATTATTCAAACAGTTTAAGAGTGATGATTGAGCTCTTGACCCTTGTTGAGACAGTCAATTTGGTGTGTACATATGGCAAAATCAAAGGTACTTTATTCAAATGATTTGCACCACGTGACTTTGTCCCTTTTGATCAAATTACTTCCCTTAGCTTAAGATTGAAAATATAATTTATTTTAGATTGGCGGATAATCCAGTCCTTTTCCGTCATGTATCTAAAACTAATGTATCTTTAAAAACTTCCTTTGGCAGATATTTAAAAAAATGCTGTGTAATTCTAAGGGAAAATGCTTAAAATTTGACGTTTTACGAAATGGGAAGGTTGAAATCATCATGTTTTTAAAAGAATTTGGCCGAAAACTTAAGAAAGCAGGTAAGTTAAAAGTTATTCAACTTTAAAGTTCAACCTACAAGGTGTTTTACTATATGCGAACAAATCATGAACAATATCTTCTTGCATATGTATTTCTGTTTTGAATCTTGCTATTTTACGATTTTCCTTCAGTTAATAAGATCTTATAGAGCAATTATACTATGGTTACGCTTCCGATTTTTAAACTAAAAAGGCCGAAAGATTTCAGAGTAGACAATGTCCATTTGTACACGGACAGAAGCCTAAAAACATGTACAATTCACCTATATGCGAACAAATTGTTCATTCAACATAGGTATTGGCATATTGGCATTTTTATTGAAGGGGCTTATATAATCCTATTGTAATGGCTGCCGTCATGATAATGCAAAATGGCCGCTATGCAAATTAGCAAATTATCCCAAATTTTGCCATATGATGTGTGTGTAAGAATTTCCCGTAAACGTATGGCAAGGTAAACGTAAGAATTAACAATTTGAAGTTCGTGGTTATGATGTATAAACGATTATTAACAAGTTGCAATCCATTTCTAAACACAACAGCTTTAGTCTTATTAGTGTTTATTTCTATGTTCCATTTTCTACAATATTTGGATAGATTTTAAGGTAAATTGAAGAAGCTCTGGAGACATGGCATAGAATACAGTACAGTCTACAAAAAGTATCAAATAGATTAAAATACATTCAGGTTCACCATATGTTCATTATTTGTATCATTTATATCTTCAATAACATCATTATTCAAAAACAGGAATAATAATGAAAAAGGAAATAAACGTTCGCCTGGTTTTAGTCCTAACAGGTTGTCAAAAAGCATCAGATAGAAGTCCACCATTTCTTACGTGGAGACGCACAGAAGCATGAATAGATTTGATAATGGCCACAATTTACTTCTGACTCCATTTAATCAAAATTCTCCTGTTTAATTTATCGAACGCTTTTCGAAAATCAAGGAAAGTGCTGTATAGTTTCATCTTTTGGTAAAGAATATGTACAATTATACCATGTAGGAAAAAATAGCATCAATAGTTGAAAGTCCGTGACGAAAACCAAATTGATTGTCGATTAGTTTATCTTCGTCTTCGGACAATACAAGCAATCGAGTCGTCAGGATAGATGTGAACAGTTTGGATAACACACTCACTAAAACGATGGGTCGATAGTTATTAGGGTCGGTCAAACCTCCACTCTTGGAAACAGCAATACCAATACCATCTGCCCAGGTATCAGAAAAAAAT